ATGTATATGTATTTTATTTTTGCAGGGGGTACTGGCCATCGAACTTAGGTCCTTGTGCTTGCAAGGCATTCAGCAGAACCACTGAGCTAAATCCCTGGCCCATATGTCAGAATTTTTAAAATATGTATTTCTCTCACTTGCTTTCAACTCAATATGGCAATCCTCCCATATATGTGACAGAAAATAGAGCAGCTCAAAAATTACACTATACACAATTATGTGACGAGTGGAGAATTCAGTACCTTAAAGGATACATCAATGAAATGCTGAAAGGTGAGACACAAACAAGATATTTTCTAATACAACACAATTTAAACGTGCTTCTAAATCTTGTAAGATTTTCCTATTACCTATATAATATTCTTCTTCTAATGACAATATTCACTATGGAATGAAATGTCTTCGCAGCTCTGAGAGATGGCACTAATGTAAAAGAGTACACTTGCCGGATACGTTTTTTTTTTTTTTTGTACCGGCAATCGAACTCGGGTCCTTGCGCTTGCGAGGCAGGCGGCAGAGTCACTGAGCTAAATCCCCGGCCCTGGATAAGTTTGGATGGGAGAAGGGCTATGCAGACAGATACGGATTCTACCATGTGGACTTCACCCCCAGAAGCAAGCCCCACCACCCCAAGGCTCTGGCTCACTTCTACAAGATGATCACTGTGGCCAGCGGGTTTCCCAGGCCCAGAGAGTTAGGACAGATACCTGTGCTGCGCGTGATGGCTCTACAGGGGCTGAGCACTGGGCACGCAAAGCGTTTGGTGAGTAGCTGTCTTCTTCCCTCGTGAGAGCCTCAGACTTAGTCCCTACCTCCTACAGCGTTAAGGACACGACTGGAGGCTGGGCAGGAGCCACCTCAAGGTAGATGTTATTCTAAATGCTAGGCCTGAATGCAAACACATACTACCCCTTTCTGATGCACAAGCTGGGTGTGGTGGTGCACGCCTGCCTGTACTGCAGCACTGGGGCTGAGGCAGGAGGAAGGCTGTCAATTCCACAGCCTCAGCTACATAGTGAGACTCTCAAAAAACAAAGTAAGAACAGTTAAGTAAAGTAAATGTTTCCTAATTGTATCTTTTTTTTTTGATACAGGGTCTCCCTATGTAGCCCAGGTTGGCCTCAAACTTGCGATCTTCCTTCCTCAGCCTTCCAAGTGCTGGGATTACAGGCGTGTGACACCATGCCTGGCTTTCTCATTTCTTTTTTTTTTGTTTTGTCTTTTGAGACAAGGTCTCGCTATGTAGTTCACACTAGCCTAGAACTCATGGCAAGCCTCCTGCCTCAGCCTCCCAAGTACTAAGATCACAGACATGGGCCACTACACCTGGAAGATAGTAATCATTTTACCCTACATTTATTTTAAAAATAACTTCAAGCAAGAGCCAGGGATTTAGCTCAGTGGTTCCACTGCCTGGCTCTCAAGCTCTAGGACCTGAGTTTGATCCCTGGTACCAAAAAAACCAAAAAAAATTTCAATCAGTGTGAGACAACATCACTCACCAAGCGGGTCTTTAGTAGGTGCAAAGCTCATACCAGGAAGCCTTGGAAACTTGCTCTTCAATAACCGGATGTGTGCCGCAGGTGAGTACTTTTCATTCTTCTTCTGATGACTAAACTTTATAAATCAATTCTTCAGGTCACTTACAAGTAAAAATGGGCATTATTTTTTTACTACTAAAGTGTCAAACAGTTATTTCTCAAGTACTTTAAATATAAAAAAGACATGCGCCATTAAAGAAATATCTTAATCACTCTAATCTTACTCTTCACACTGCTACTTTTTGTACCAACCACTTTTGGTGAAGTGGGCCAAGAGCCAGGCCACTCCCGCAGCTCCCTACCTTGCAGCAGCATTGTTCTGTGTACACCAGGGTCTGCAGAATAACTCAGATGCAACTATGCATCAGGCAAAGGCAACAGAAGGGGGGCCCCAACTTGAGCAACTTGATGAGATGCTGTCTTGAAGGAAAGGCTGAGGATGTAGCTCAGTAGGAAGGCCCTGGGTTCAACTCCAGTACTGGGGGAAAAAAAATCACCTGTCACGAGTTTCTTTGAATTGTATCTTTCTCTATAATGACAACCTGAGACATTAGCTCCTTTTTAAATAAACCCATCTTTTTTTTTTTTTTTTTTGGTATTGAGGACCGAACTTGGACCCTTGTGCTTGTGACAGACATCTGCACCACTAAGCTAAATACCTAGCCCCTAAAATAAACCCATCTTTAATGTGATATCCAAAGTAGAAAAGTATTAGGCTAAATCCTTCCAGTCTAGCTATTTTTATGAGCCAGTAAATCAACCTGCCCATTTCTAAGTAACAAGGCAGTGAGCACACCTATTATCTTAGCACTCCAGAGGCTGAGGCAGGAGGATCACTGTGAGTTTGACACCAGTCTGGACTACATAGTGAATTCAAGACCAGCCTGCTGGGATACACAGTAAGATCCCTTCTCAAAAAACCAAAAATAAGCTGCGTGTGGTGGTGCATGTCTGTGATTCCAGCACTGGGGAAGCTGAGGCAGGAGGATCGCCATGAGTTCAAGGCAAGCCAGGACTACATAGCGAGTTCAAAGCCACCTTAAACTACATAGCAAGAGCCTATCTCAAAAATCCAAAATAAATAGCAAGGCAATATGAATGGTGCACATTCCATCCGACCAAAATAAATTTACTGTGGTCCTAATGCAGAATGTACTGGCAGCCTGTGAGCTCCACAAGAACACAGCCTGGGCCTGATTTATCACAGGAACCAGGTGCCCAGGGGAAGTGGGAGAAGGGATTGGTGCAAGGTTCACTCTTGTCAGTGCTTCATCCCCACACCTCTTCGATAAACACAACGCTGGCGAAGGTGGGAAATGATTCCCAGGGTCTTTCTTTCACAAATCCCCAATAAAAAGGACAGAAGCCATGAATGCGCCTGCCAACACTGAGATGAACACAAGAAGCATTACGTACTGTTGCCCGTTCAGACTTTATTACAGCACCTGTACAAGAGTGGAGTGCAGCCATCCCCGGTCCCTGAAATCTTTTCCAAATTCCCACATCATTGTCTTTGTAGGAGGATGGAGCCCAGAGACTCATGCCTGCTAGGCAAGGGCTCCACCAGAGCTCTACTCCCAGCCCACAATTTCTAAGGACATTTCATTTACAAGGTTCCCTCTGCAGAAAACGAGAACAGTCGGTCACTGTGATGAGGCCAGGTCTCCAGCTTTCTCTGTCTGCTCTTCTGTTGCACAGACTCTGCTTGAGCACATGCACCTGGCCTTGGAGACAGTGGTGCCTATGGTCTGCACCCTCTGCGTGCTCATCGCAGCCCTGTTGCTCACGCTCCTGCTACGGGGCCTGCACTGAGACCAGCACCAATCCTAGGGCAGCTGCCTGTCCTTCTGCTGCACGGGACGCCGCACACATGTCTGCTGCAAGGCTCTGGGATAACAGCTTTCTTTTTTCCTCTTTGATATGTGCTAGGATTTAACATTAGAAAAGAGAAATAGTGTGAATGAAATAAAACTCACCTGTGATCTCTCCTTTCCTGAAGGACCAGAGTGCTCTGTGATTTGACTTTTTGTCATTTTGCCTAGGAATGTTATTATTCAATACAAATGACTATCATCTCAGACTGTCCTGGGTGAGGGACAGCATCTCCCCAGAGACAATGACCCTTTCCAGTGGCAGATCTGTTAGCCGACTGGGAGAAAGCACTGGATAGGCATCAAAGGAATGAGCATGTCTACTTTCCTGAGATCAACTTCTTATGATAAACTCAGTTCACTACAGGCTGGGCACAGTGGCACTTGCCTGTAATCCCAGCACTCAAGAGGCTGAGACAGGAGGACTGTCCTTAGTTCAAGGCTGGCCTGTACTATAGGGAGATCAAGGCCAGCCTGAACGACACAGCAAGACCCTGTCTCAAGAAAACAAAAATAAACAAATTCAATTCACTGCACCCAATAAGATGACACACAAAAAAATACTATGGAATATCTTTTAAATATTGGATTAAAATAAATGTTATATATTTACATACAGGTAACCGGGTACTTTTCCTTTTAAATAAAGGTCCATTTTAATCTTTTTTTTTTTTCCATTTTATTCATAATGCTAAAATGCTAACATTAATCTCCATTTATTTGGGAACAAAACATGGCTTACAAAGCAATGAGAAAATTGGGCATTATACACATTATCTGACTCCATTTAGTTTTCTTTCAGAAACAAAGTAAGACTAGAAAATGTTATTTCATTAGTTCTTTTGATTAATGCTATCTCAAATTAAAAGATTTTTAAAAGCATACTTATACCTGGGCCTTAGCCCTGCAAGTGGGCTGAGGTAGAATTGTTTTACTTTGTTGTTGCACAGAAGCCCCAAGCGACACTGCTGTAGCATGTTTGTTATGAACTGACAACCAGTCATTTCTTTGATTAAATAATTTGTAAATTTGATATTTCCTGTTTTGTATATATATTTGATATTACCTGTTACCTTACAAAACTTAATGGGAAAAAATGCAATTCTTGGTCATCTCGTATTTAAATGATTGGACTAAGTGGTTAAAGGATTGAGCCCAGGGCTCGTACACACTAGGCCAGTGATCTACCACTGAACTGTAATCTCAGACCTTTTTTATTTTTTGGTACCAGTGATCAAACTTGGGACCTTGCACTTATGAGGCAGGCAGTGGAACCACTGAGCTAATTCCCTGGCCCAGACCCTTTTTATTCTGAGACAGTGTTTCAGTAAATCTCCCAGGCCGGCCTCCTGTGCAGCTGCGACTCCAGTATGCACCAAGTCCATCTCAAAATGTTTTCGATAAAACTTCCCCTTCAGTGTCACAATAGTATGTTTGGTCAGAATTTTGAAATCACACTGTCTACTGTATAGATTTAAAATGCAAAGGAATTACCACCATTTAAAATTTTTTTCCATTTCCTTTTTTTTTTTTTTTTTTGCGGTACCAGGGATCAAACTCAAGACCTTGCACTTGCAAGGCAGACACAGTGCCACTGAGCTAAATCCCTGGTCGTCATTTCCTTGGTTTTAGGATTAAACTGATCTAGTAGGCTGACTATAAAAGGTTAAAAAAAAAAAAATTAAGAATTCCATGGCTCAGATTATATCTGTAAGCTTTTTTAATGTGTTTACTGATCAATAATCCATATTTTGCCATTAAGTTTATTGGTGCATTTAAAGTAAACAATACAGTCACATTTATCATTGGGAAGGATCTTGTACCTTTACATGATATATCTTGGTTCTTGTTTTTTCCCCATACCCCTGCCCTTCCTTCACCCTTCAGGCTTCCCTATCTACAAAGACTTTGTTTCCATTTCTTTCATTTACCCTATTTCCTTTCCCCTCCCCTTTCCACTTCCTCTTTAGCTAATTTCTTCCTATTTCACACTCTCAATTATAGCATTTGAGCCTTATTTACACTTTTAGTTTCACACCAGAGAAACTATTTGGTATTTACTCAAGTGTGTCCTATTTATTTCACTTAAAGAATATATAGCCTCAACGTGCATCCATTTAGCTATGTTTCTAATTTCTCATTCTTTATGGCTGAGTAGTACTCCATTTTTATAGAAAACCACATCTTCTTTATCCAGTCTCCAGTTGATGGACATTTGGATTTTTTCCAAGTGTTAGCTATTACAAACTGTGCCGCTATGAACACAGGTGCACACATATCACTGTGGTATGATTCTTTTACTTCTTTTGGAAAGATACCCAGCAGAGGGATAGGATAGCTGGGTCAAGTGGAACCTCTAGTCCCAGCCCTTTTGAGATATCTCCATATTGATTTCCATAGTGGTTGCAGCAGTCTGCACTCCCACCAACAATGGAGAAAGGTTACTTTCTCCCCACAACTCCACCAGCATTTGTTATTGGTTGATTTCTTGATAGCAGCCATTCTTTGTGGGGTGAGGTGGAATCTCAGTGTTGTTTTCATCTGCATCTCTCGAACGACCAGTGATGTTGAACATTTTTTCATATATTTATTTGCTGCTTTTACTTCTTTGTCTAAGAAATGTCTGTTCATTTCAGATGCCTATTTCTGAATCAGGTCTTTGTAGTTGGAGGGTCTGATGTTTTTTAGCTCTTTATATATTTAGATAGTAGTCCTTTGTCTGACTAGTGGCAAAAAATTTTCCCACATTATAGGTTGTCTCTTAGCTCTGCTGGTGGTTTCTCTTGCATTGCAAAAACTTTTTAATACAATGAAATCCCAGTTGTTGATCTTCGTGCAAATTTGCGTGCTGCTGAGGATTTGTTTATAAAGTCTTCTCCTATGCCAATGTCTTCGAGAGTTCTGCCTAATCTACTTTCTAGTAAGTTTAAAAACTTTATTTTATTTTGTAATAATATTTTTTAAGAATTTAAGAATTCTTCTTTTGGGGGGGGTATGAGGGATGAAACTTAGGACTTTACACTTTTGAGGCAGGCGCAGCACCACTGAACTAAATCCCTAGCCCAATAATCCATATTTTGTTTTTTGTTTTTTTGTTTTTTTTGGTACCGGGGATTGAACTCGGGTCCTTGTGCTTGTGAGGCAGGCCACCGAACCACTGAGCTAAATCCCCGGCCCTAATCCCTATTTTCAATGTATCAAATCAACATTTAGAAATAACTAAAACAAAAGCTATGTGTGGTGGCCCACACCTATAAGCCCAACTCTCAGGAGGCTGAGGTAGGAAGATTAAGAGGTAGAGGCCAACTGGGGTACACAGTAAACTGTATCCAAAGAAAGGAAGGAAGGAAAAAAGGAGGGATAGAAGAAAGAAAGAAAAGATCCTTAATATTTCAGTGTACTTGGAGGGAACACAGTGAACATAAATACCGTGGCAGTGAGGGCCCCATCATCCTTTACTTGAAATGCACCTGGCTGCAGGTGACCATGGTGGTAAAGGACGTCTTTTCTTCCAGGCTCCCATTTAGTGTTAAATCAGAAAAATCTGTAACCAAGAAGACGGAGAAATCAGAACTCCATAACCCCTGCCACCTTTCCCCTGTGTACAATGCTTTTATGATGACACCACAATCAAAAGGTTATGAACAGCATGTGTCTTCACCTTTAAGGAATCTGCGAGCACTCCGCCAGGATGACTCATTTAAAATATTAATCCTCTGGGTACACTTAATACATAGCTAAAAACCTAAAATTTGAAACAGATTTTGAAGAAAAATCCTGGGGAATGTATTGCTTTACTTTTTGTGCCGTATCAACTAGGATTAAATAACTGCCCTTTTCTCCATCTTAACATGCATTTCAGGAAGAAATTCGACTTAGGATTTAAAGTCTTAGAATTAGACACACACCCATTTTGCTTCCCAAAGACTGACTGCTGCATTTCAAAAACAAAAAGTCCACTTCCCATTTAGAAGGGATGGTACCCACTTCTGGTCAACAGTGTGGTGCCCCCACCCCATTACCAAGTATCATTTGCTCAGCACACACTGGGGGGTGCTCAACTGGACCACCCTCCCCCACCCACTAACTCCAATCTTTATTCTCTTTCCACGGCAGCTAAAAGTGCACTTTCTGAAGCCCTTCAGGTTTTGATGTCCACTGTTTTACACAAGAGCATGATAGGACTAGTTATCTTGAAAAAAGACAATTTAGGACCTAAGTGTTCAGTACAGTGAAATTAAAAAACCTAACTTCTTTGAGCCCGGCGTGGCGGTGACATCTGTAATCCCAGCACTCATGACGTGGGAGGATGGCTGAGAGCCTGAGCCCAGCCTGGGCTACAAAGTGAATTTGAGGCCAGCCTGGACTACACGTCAAGACCTTATCTCAAAAAAAGAACAATAATCACCTCCCCATGAAATCTAACTTCAATATGCACTTTTGGAAAAAAATAAATCATTATTCGCTTTTAATATTTACAACTAATTGCCAGGTGCAGTGGCACATACCTGCAATCCCAGCACTCAGAAGGCTGAGGCAAGAGGATCGCCGTGAGTCTGAGGCCAGCCTGGGCTACAGAGTGAGTTCAAGGCCAGCCTGAACTACACAGTGAGACCCTGTTTCAAAATAAAAATAAAAATTCAAAACTAATTGACAGATGTTTCTGTTTTCTTGGTACCGGGGTCTGAACTCAGGACCTTGCACTTGCAAGGCAGGCACAGTGCCACTGAGCTAAATCCCCAGCCCTGACAAATGATGCTATGACACCTGAATCAAAGTATATCTGGGGAGAGATTGTTTTCTGGAAGCAATCTGCAAGGTATCAATTAGTCAAATAGAACCATATATATTCCCAGCATTAAGGCCTTTGAAATCTTCTGGGACTCTGTCAGAAAACTATCAGGTCTGCTTCCAGATAACCTGGCACTGTCTGAATGCGGCCCTTCAGAGCCAAGGACCGCAGCTTCCAGAGGGGATGCTGGCAGCAGGGGCCAAGACGCTCTCGGTACCAGGACATCTCTGAGAGGGCCTGAGCGCTGGCCCAGTCCACCATGGAGAAGGCTCATGTGAGCAGCTAGTGTTTCCACCCTGTGACTCTTCTTACTTCTACATCCCTCTTGCTTGACCTTATCCACTGAAAGGGCCTCCATCCCAGGCAATGAGAACAATCATTCTTCTGATTATAACGCAATGAAGTTTGCTAAGCGGTACACTAGCACAAAAGTCATGATTTTTTCTTAAAGTATGTTTTACACTTAAAGAGTTCAGGACAGTTATTTAAAACTGGGCACTAGAAATATAACAATGATCCCTCCCAGTAAGATTTGGTTTATTTTCTGCTGGGATAATTCATGTGAGCACATTGCAAACCATCTTTACCAGGTTTGTGATGACTCAGGTGGTCCACAGGTGAGCTGTCACTCAGCTGCCAAACAGTCTTAACCTTCTTTTGACCGCCATTTATTTCTACTTTCCATTTCTGTGGCTTCTCACTAAGAAAGGAAGAAAAACTGTAAAGACGATACAACAAACAGCTGTTTCCTTCCTTCCTCTCTAGTCAGTTAGTGAGATCCTTATGTGATAAGCACAGAGATGACAGTTCCCACCCTGCACAAGTACAGGCAAGGGATGGGGAGGAACAAGAACAACAACTCACGAAGGGAGATGCACCATGGGTTAGGGGCAACAGGAGGCAGGACCCTAACCAACCTAGGGACTGGAGAGAATCTTCAGAGACTGTGGTACCTGGGCTGACTATGAAATGACACAGGCCCTGGCAAAGAAAGGCCAGGCACACAGGTGCCGAGGGCCAGAGTGGGAGCATCCCTCACTCAAAAGGGAAACAGCTCCTACCACTTGGGAGACTGAGGCAGGAGGATTGCCACAAGCTCGAGGCCTTAAGGCCAGCCTGGGCTACACAGTGAGTTCAGGTCCAGCCTACACTCCTTAACGAGACCCTGTCTCAAAAACAAACAAACAAACAAACAAACAAACAAAAAAAAAAACGAAGCAGCAAGACCCGGTGGTACCAAGAGAGAGGTTCAGGGTCAGGCCCTGAGCCCTTAGAGGCCACACTAAGACACTGGAATTACTGTCCTAAAGGTAACAGGGACCAAGTCATCCTAAGACTTGAATTCCAGAAGAAAACATCAGCAGCAGCATAAAGAAGACAGTGGACGTTGAGGAAAGGGTTTTATCAGAGTACAGGTGTGATGTGAAGTAGAGGCGAATGCTCAAGCCCTGATGGTGTCAAAGTGTGGAGGAAGGGACGATTCAAGAGGCACCAAGAGGGACGGGACATGGCGAGCACTGAAGAGGGAGTGAGAAGGGACAGCGGAGAGCGGAGACAGCCCTGGACTTCTATTCTGCACAGCAGGCGGGAATAATGGGGAAAGACAGGAGGAGGGAAAGGCGCATGGAAGGGGACGAGGGGCTCAGGTGTTTTAAACTGTTTTTTAACGGCATACTCGGGAAGCTGAGGCAGGAAGAGCACCACCGGTCTGTGCCAAACCTGGGTGACATAGTAAATTCAAGGCCAGCCTGCACTTCAAAGTGAGGCCCTGTCTCAAAAAGACAAAAAAAAAATTACTATATACATTACTTGAAATAAATACACATTGTAGAGCGGCTAAACTGAGCTGGTTAGGATGTTCCATACCACAAGCAGTTATCATTGCTGTGGTGAGAATACGTAAATCTATTTTCTCAGCACCATTCACGAACACAGCGTACGGTCAGTACTCGCGGCACCTCTCGCGTTTAGTCCTCCTCTGGCACTGAGAGCACCCAGTGTCAGATCGGGACCGCCTTCTGCACTTGAAGCTGGGGACTCACATCTAACAGGCACTTAGAAGCTTGGGGGCAACTGAGGAGGGCCTGGAGGTGGCACTGTGGGGCCTCATTTGCCAGGAGGAACAGATACCTGGGTGTGGACGGGATCGCCCAGGGAAGAGAGATGGTGAGGACCAAGGAGAGGTCAGGAGAAAAAGCACATGTGAGAAGCAGACAGAGAAGAAAGAATTGGGCAACAGAACTATTCTCAGTGTTGGAGGAGGCCAGACAGGAGAATGAAAATAAGACAGAATGCTATGCCACAGAAATTAGGAAACAAGACAAGTTCAAGAAAGCACTAGTGCTAGGGGCCGGGATTTGGCTCAGTGGTTCCCGTGCCTGCCTCACAAGTGCAAGGGCCCGAGTTTTAACCCTCATACCACAAAAACAGAAAAGAAAAGACAAAAGCACCAGTGCTAAATGCCCAGTAGCTCACTGAAGGAGGAAGCAGTGGTGGGAAGCTAAGTACCAAAGGGGCTAAAAAAAGATCCTGTCACTGAAAACATCCATTGAACTTGGTAATAAGAAAGCCACTGGTGCTTTTGCCAGAGCAGTTCCAGGGGAGCAGTGGGAATTTGACTGCAAAAGAACTAAACAGACCAGATAGAAACAGTGGCTGTAAGCCAGGTGTGCAGGCACATGCCTGTCATCCCACCAGCAGGCAGGAGGCTGAGGCAGGAGGATCACTGTGAGCTCAAGGCCAGCCTGAACTACAAAGTGAGACTGTCTGAAACATGAACAAACAAACAAACAGTGGCAGTCGCAGGAGAGAAATTTCAAGTCTCTCATATGTGGAGGGGAAAGTCAGGGGAGGTGGTCATGTGTGGCAACCCCTGTATCTGAGGGGACGACCGCATTATCGCCTCAGCCTCATGGTTTCCCACCCTTCCCCGCAAATGGTTCTTTCACTCCCGCAGCCATATGCTTGGCCTTCTTGTCACTATCCTGATCATTTTTTTCCCGATCTGTCATTTCCCTGGCTGCGCGTCCTTTACTCCTTTATCTATGACAGAAGTGCAAATTGAGAGCAACATGAAAGACCAGAGGCTCCACAGTCTAAAAAGAACAGACAGAGAAGGAAGGAGGAGAACTAGCAGGCCACGGCCAGGGAGAAGCCACAGATTAAGGTTCCAGTGGTCAAGCAGCTCTGCGCCATGAGGTGCCCGAGGAACATGGGCACCAAAGTTGCCAAGAATCACGGCTGGAGTCAGGTAACAATTATGAAATTGCTCACCTCTGATACAAGTTTTTTACAGAAGCTGTTCTGACTGGTAGCTGAAAAATGTGTTGCTCATCAAGGGGATTTTGTTTATAATATTTTATGCAGGATCTAAAAAAAAGAAAGAAAGAAAGAAAGAAAAGAATCATTTTTGGAAAAAAAGAGTCATTTGGGGATAAAGACTTTCAAACAGTCTAAAGTGCACAAGGAAACATTTTAGTGAGTACCACTAACCACGAGGAAAAGAATGATTATAAAGACACAAAAGTAAACTACCCACACACACAAAACTTAGCTAATGTTTTTTAAAAGGAAATCTAATTAACTTTGTAAAAATTAACATATTTTTCATAAATATAAAAATATATTTAAGTTAGGCCCAAATACAGGCTTCAGTGGAGAGAAAGAGACATCTGGAAAAAACCAGAGGAGACAGAAGTCACAGACAACAAACTTCAGTTTTCAGAATATAGGGAATTAAAGCTACTGATCTGTAATAAAAAATCTTTCAGGTTCTGTGAATAAGAACAATTTTGAACTTTCCCCATTATATAATTGGCCAAATTCTAAATTTGGAAAAGACAAGGGTTCACTTATTTTCAGACTGAGGCCTCCAATGCGTGCAAGACAGCAGCAGTCCACGTGAGAATGCCTCCACTGAGTCTTTAGTCCAACTGGGCAGAAGCCCTTGTTATAGCAATGCTACCGACAGCCTTGGCGCACGATCTGATTTCATTCAGTCACCACACAGATGCTCTGACTAGTTTCGCTCAATTTATAGGGACATAAGGAAGGCAAGAAATAACACTTAGTTAGCACCTATCATGTGAGGTGGCTTACGCACATTCTATCATCGTCTAATCCTCAGAACAAACACATCAAGTCACTAGACCCTTTGAACATGAGGAAACAAGATTCGGTGAGATGAAACTTGTAAGGAAGTCAGAACGTGACACAGCCAAACCGGATTTCTCTTGAATCCAAAGCCTTTTCTTCCTCTGACCCTGACCTGGACCCCTGCTAACGTGAAGACAGACAGGGTGAACAAATGTGTTTTAGCCTAACTGGCAATAAAACTGGACATATTCTGGCTGCTATTTTTGGGAAAAGAATACATTCCTATGTAAGCGGACAAGAAATACTCACTGTGTTAAAGAAAACAGGAACTCGTGCTGAGGCTTAATGAAAAGCGTGCAACTGACTAGGATCTCTAGAATGTGGTGCAGTTTCTGAACACGATGAACCTGTTCTTGTATCTCTACTGATGGAGAAATGAAGTATTCCTGGATTGGAGAAGTATACACAAAATAGGGAGTTCAAGGATAAGCAGCATCTTCGGAAAGAATGCAGCCATGTCCCCTGTACTATGCCTAATAACAGGGAGGGGAAAAACAAAGGGGAGGCACTTGGACTGGATTCACCACCTCCCTACCACCTTCCGCTCCTTTGTAAGTGAAGTCTTTAGTAAATCATTATATGTACTCTCTGGTAAAGGCAAATCGCAGAGCCACTCCCACCCACCAAGCTCCCCTGCTCACTGCATACTTGCTAAACTCATGGAAGGGTCCACCTCTAAAAACAGTGAACTTCAACTACCAAGAAATTTAGCAAGTGTTCTGACACGCTTCCCTTCTCACATGTAACTGGTAAATTGGTGCAGTGTTTTGGAAAAGAAATTTGGCAGTGTATGGCAGCGTCACAACAGGCTCAGACCATCTAATCCCAGTTTTGAGAATTCTTCCTAAGGAAATAATCCATGGCAAACACAGTAGGTGAATCTGACAACAGCCACCAATGCTGTGGCATTACAGAGTACACATCCTGTTTACTATCTTCCCCCAGAGTGAGGCCAGAGCCTGGGTTTTGATGGGATTTGCTACTGTGATCAGGTCAGTAACTGACCAGGAGTTAATGAAGAGAGATTATAGGCTGGTCACTATGGTGACCCACCAGGGAGCCCTTTAGGAGTGACCATCACAGATATTTTGTGTATACTTCCGCTTGCTGTGAAGGAGCAAACGGTCGTTCCGCGGAGAGGACCATGGCAAAGGCTACAAGCAGCCTCGAGGACCTGACTGGTCTTGAGCCAATATACTGAAAAATGCACGGAAGAACATAAATTCTTAGAAAAATAATCCCTCAAGTATAACCTAATGGCTCAAGAATATACAACAAATATCCCTTCCTAGGGCTGCAGGCACTCCCTAAGCATTCCTAGAACAGGAGAGTTGCGACAGCACAGTGTGATGAGCAGGACTACTATACAGCACAATCACAGACGCGACAGATGACACTGAATGGGTGATTCTGTCATCTGTCTGACTAAGTGGTAATCATTAAGGGCACTGATTGTCTTACTGATGTTTTTCAGGACCTCCAACAGAGACTAGCATATTATAAGCACTTAATTACTACACGCAGGATAGGTGAATAAATTTAAAAGTTTTAGGAAAATAAAACTTACCAAATGATTCAAAGATGCAAGCTCCTGACCTATTAAAAATATATAAAATAGAAAGATAGATAAATAAAGTTTAGGGATTATCTATAACATGTGAAGGATCCTAGGTAAAAATTTTCATACTTCTTAAATGAAAGAGATGGCCAAGGTAAAAAGTTCCTCACAAGACAAGTATTTTTGGCATATAGCACCATAAATACATACAGTATTGTGACATGCTTTTTAATTGAGTTGGGAAAGGGACTCGTCTATTATAAAACTGATCACAGTTTAGCCCTAATAAAAAGTACCAAGGCTTGCATACTTAAAATGCATCTCAAGGGCCAGGGATTTAGCTCAGGGGTTCTGTGGCCTGTAGTCCCAGCACTTGGGAGGTTGAAGCAGGAGGATCAATAGTTTGAGGCCAGCCTGGGTTGTATGAGTTCAAGTCCAGCCTAGAGTAGATAGCAAAACCCTGTCTCAAAAAACCAAAAACTTGAAAAATAAAACAGCACCTCATAAAAGGCTTTTTCTCATGTCCCAAACTAATTCATAAAATCTAAAATGTTTGAACTAAAAGCAAGTAAACAAAGACCACTGCTATATGTAATCTTGTATCTCTACTGGGTGGTTAAGATACAGAGAAGGGAAACCCTTGTCTCAGTGAACTGGGGCAAAGCTAGGACCACAGATGACCAGGGCAAGGGAGAAAGGCAAGACCCTAGAAGGCCTATGGATGATAACGTGACATGCTTTTTACTTTTTTGACTTGGAAAAAGGACTTACCTATGAAAAAACTGATATAATCTTTTTTCAATTTGTCCAAGCCAATTTCCAAAAGCATTTGAAGTGGAATAATCCCACTGAGAGACACTGTGTCCATGGTTCCGTGATAAGACTGATGAATGAGCTTGCTTAGTAAACTGTTACTCCCACTATGGAGCTGGAAATAAAGAAAATTTTATAAGTCATAAATAAGAATATGAGCGAAAGAAGTAAATTGCATTAGCTGTAAAAAAATTACACACCTACATTCTTATTTTCCTGACCCAATTCCCATCGGGCCAGGCCCCTGAGAACACATTCCACCTACCCATGGCTGGATGTCACCTCGCTGGAGGCTCTGCATGATCAGCATGAAACACTTCACCAGGTCCTGATAGGAAACCACACCTAGAAGACCAAGTCAGTCTAATATGATTTTTCACACTTCTACAGATCGAAAATGTCATCTGCGTTAGTTATACAAATAAAACAGAAGAATCTGTATTTGTGGATGGAGGAGAAAAACTGGGGGGGGGGCAAAAAAAACCCAAGATTAAATATATTTCTTTTCTTTTTGCAGTGCTGAGGAGTTGAACCCAGGGCCTTATACGTATGAGGCAAGTGCTACACCTCTGAGCTACCTGCCCAACCCAGACTGGATGTACTTCTAAAGAAAAACATCAAACTCACATTGTCTCAAAATAACATATTTAGTAAAATACTAAGAAATAGTGTTTGCTTTGCTAATAATTTTACTAAGGTATATGTCTTGGTCCATATCAATATACCATAAAAACCAACGAAGTCTTATACTTTAAAAAGCAGAAAAGAACAGAAAACACAAATTGCCTTGCCTTAGTACAATTCTTTTTCTTTCTTTTCTTTTGTTTTTTGGCTTTTTTGAGACAGGGTCTTGCTATGTAGTCCAGGCTGGCCCAAACTCATCGAAGTCCTCCTGCCTCGGTCTGCCAAGTGCTGGGATTTCAGACCTGGCTGCCTTAGTACAATTCTTAAGCAGAGTGTGCCAATCCACTATTAGCAACGAATTGGATAAAACCAGAACCAGACTCCCACAGAGGACTGACAGTATACATTTCATTATATCCAAGACTTTAAAATAAACCCAAGACACAATATGAATGATTTAAGTCACAATGGACACCTACTGCTGCTCATTTTGCACCAAAGTTGTTCAGCAAAATCAAGATCACCCCGCACCATGACAAGGACGGACCTATCAACTGCAGCAGTGTCGGGCTTCACTGTCTGAAAAAGACACAGGTGTCAGAGAATGCTCAGGATTTTTGTTTGCTATTCATTTGAGGCAGGATCTTGTCACAGAGGCCATGCTGACCTTGTTTGCTACAAAGCCCAGGCTGACCTCAAACTTTCAGCACAATCTGCCTGCTTCAGCCTCAGAGTAGGGATTAACAGGCGTGCACAACCACATCTGACTTAAATTTTTTTTTTTTTTGCGGGGAGTTTTGAGACAGGGTCTCACTATGTAGTTGAGACTGACCTGGAATTCACTATGTAGCCCAGGCTGGTCTCACAGAGATCCTCCTGCCTCAACCTCCCAAGTGCTGGGATTACAGGCCTGTGCCACCACACCCAGCCTGGTTTATTTAATTTTAAAGTGAAATAACCTAAGCTTATAAATATTGCTGAGAAACTGTGCATTCATAAACACACAAGAAAGGGCATTTTTTTCAACTTCTCATTTACTCTTTTTTTTTAAGACAGTTCTCGCTATATAGTCCAGGTTTGCCCTGAACTCACAGGCCCAGGCTGGCTTTGAACTTGGGAGTGATCCTCCTGCCTCAGCCTCTGGGGTGCTGAGATTATAGGTCTGCACCATCGTCCCTGATTTCATTTACTTATTAATAAGGACACACACACCTCAACAGATTATGAATAACTGTTTTGAAACTCGAATGAAGGCAACCATTCAGTTTCCTCCTATGTAAGAATATTTATCAAATTGCTTTGGCCTCCATTTTTGTTTTTATCAAATGAGAACTCATACTTTTATCTAGTGACACCAATATACAGAATAGTAATACTTCCTCTTATAGTCTATCAGTGCATCGTAGCAATAGCCTCTCAAAGTGTATTAGGGTATTCATCTCACTTTTCTGCAATGTAACAACTCACAATACACATGACCATAACAGATCCACGTGAGGCAGTATAAGAGTAATAATAGCATGACCAAAAAAATATTTTTTGCTGGGGGACTGGGGATTGAACCTGGGCCCTTCCGCTTCCAAGGCAGGTGCCGGAAACACTGAGCTAAATCCCCAGCCCGGTATGATCAAATTTTAAAAGCAATTCCAGTGTACATTTCCAAGTGTTAATTAGTAATCACTTACCTCTGGGTCTTTTCTTGTATAATCACCAAATTCATCCAGCTTATTTAATTCTAGAAAGTGGCATAAACTTATTAACTTCATTTTATTTTTCTGCTTTCCGAACTATTTCCATCATAATCCTATTGCCAAGTGGGAAACGGAAAACAGGAGAAGCACAGGTAGGGATTTTACTAAAGTGCTGAACTCCTGAGGAACTACAGAGGGCAGGCAGGACTGGGTAACAGTGAGAGCTCCTGATACACGGGGTTGGCAGGGGCAAGTACGATACTCAAAGCTTATGGTTTCCTCCCTCTTTTCCTACAGCTGCACAGGTGGCTGTATAATACAAATTTCAAACTAAATTTTACTACGTTTCAGAATTACTTAGGTCTTTGTAGTATTTCAGAACAAAAGCTGTCCCTCCAACCATGTCTGGCCTCATACTTTCAGTACATCCCAACCAAAAGGCACATTAAGCCCAAAGACAAGTCACATTTAAATCTAGCAATATATAAATCCTTAATTAAGAAAACAAACAAGAGATAAGAGTGAGTTAGGAAAACACCATTCAGAAATTCTTGCACCAGTTCAACAGCAGATTTTGCTTCCAGTGGCTCAAGCCATTCAGTCACTCCTGTCCTCAAGCCATCGGCCAGAACCTAAGGGAGATGGAAACGGCCCAGAAATTTGTCAGCACCAAACAGCTTAGCTGAGGATGTTGTTCGTAATAATACTGGTTTTACAGTGGCATTTCTGGAGTGCTCCTGATGTGCCAGGCACTGCAGAAGTGCTTTATTTGCAGTGTGTCATTCAGTCCTAACAGAACTCCATGAAGCAGAGGTTACTATTACCCTGCGAAAGGCTAAATCCTTGCTAACATCACACTTAGTAATGGAGGGGGCCAGGATAAACACCTGTGGTCTGATTCCCAGGACAGGGTTGGGAAGTGCGATGCCACATGCACAGGGGTACACAGGGCTCCAGTCTAGCAACACTGGGCTGACTCTGCGGGGGTTTTTCCCTGTAGTTATCAGACCCTATGGTGCAGAACAGGGAAGGAGCAAGGCCAAGATGAAGAAGGAGGGAGGAGTCCAGACAGTATGGAGAGAAAGGGGGCCTGGTGTCAGAAGGAACAGGGGAAGGCCAGCAAAAGACCTTAATACTTAAGAAGGCTCTGCTACTTCCTATGGCAGACAATAGCCACTGCTGACTTTTTGGAAAGAACATGACACAATTAAGTGACTTAAAATCCCTTTGTCTCCAAAGAAAAGAGAGGCTACATATTTCTCAATCATTGTCCATTTCCAGGGGATCTCTGGAAAAAAGTAAAGATAATTTTTTTTCTATTGAGACAGGGTCTCACTATATAGTTCAGTCTCGCCTTGAACTCACAATGATCCTCCTGCCTCAGCCTCCTGAGTGCTGGGAGTACAGGCATGCACTACCACACCCAGGCTATCAACTGGCAGCTGACCACCTAGAAAAAGGGGGGCCCCATCTTATGAAAAAAAAACAAAAAACAAAAAACAAACACTCCAGTAGAAAAGGGGGAAGATCTGTAACTATTAACTAATGTTCCTTTTAAATGTAAGGACAATTACCAAATGAGCAAAGTTAAACTGCCCAAACTGTCAAAAATATGAATGGATATACACTATTTGCAACAAATTTTTAAAAAATTAAGATACTAGCGAGCACTGTCACAAAAACAGGAAATTTAATAAGTTAAGAATTCTAGAAGGATACTCACAAGGAGGAATTTCAGTTCTCTGTGAAGATGATTCAGGCAACCTCTGGGCTCTCCTGATTCCACTTTGATATTCTAAAAAGTACCCAAGTCAGTTTTCACTGATAAGCCCATCTTATCTTCATAGGGTCAGAGTTACTTGCATTCCAAACCATCCACACATTAAAAAAAAAAAAATCTGTTCATTAGACATCTTCTAAATAAACCAAGACCGTACTATCCTAGCCAAACGTCAAAGTTTTTCAAACCTAATACCTTATACAAAACACATGTTGGGTCGGGGATGTGGCTCAGTGGCACTGCACCTGCCTAGCAAGTGCAAGGTTCTGAGTTTTATCCCTGGTATGGGGGGAGAGAAAAGAGTATAATTATCTATAATTTCATCACCCTGAGGGAACTATTGTTAATATATTTATTTGCTGTTTTTAAAATATATATATTTTAAAAAACAGGCTTCTATGTCCATTTGTTGTTGTTGTTTTAGAGACAGCCCTGGGACTCACTATGTAGCCCAGGCTGGTCTCAAACTCACAGCGATCCTCCTGCCTCAGCCTCCCGTGCTGGGTTTACAGCCCTGGGACTCACTATATAGCCCAGGCTGGTCTCAAACTCACAGCGATCCTCCTGCCTCAGCCTCCCAAGTGCTGGGTTTATAGGTGTGCACCACCATGCCCGGCCTCTGTATACTTTTTAAAAAAGCAGTTATATATATTACTTTGTGTATTTTCTTTTTTTGCTGAATAAGAAGCATTTCTCATTATTATTATTTTTTGAGACAGGGTCTTAGTTCAGCCTGGATTTGGAATTTACAATGTAGCCCAGCCTGGCCTTGAATTCATGGCAATCCTCCTGCCTCAGCCTCCTGAGTGCTGCGATTACAGGTGTGCACCACCATGCCTAGCTTTTTCCCCTCATTATTATGTACAATTTAGGCTGGGCACAGTGGTGCACATCTATAATCCCAGGAACTCAGAAGAGGTAAGAGGATCACACATTTGAGGCCAACCTGGGCAATTTAATGAGACCCTATGTCAAAATTAAATAAAAATAAAGTTGGGGGTATAGCTCACTGACACAGTGCCCCTGAGTCCAATCCTCTAGTACCACATCCTAAAAAAACCACATAAATACAAAACAAACAACAAAAAGTAAAAACCTTATGAATTCTATGTAATATTTCATCTTGGAAATCTATTTTCCTATTGAAAATTCAGGTTTTGCTTTCAGCATTTCAGAAATGCAGCAGTCTCGGGCCGGGGATTTAGCTCAGTGGTGCCACCACCTGCTTTGTAAGTGCAAGGTCTCAACTTCAATCCCCAGTATCAAAACAAAAAACAAAAAACTATCTCACTGCATCAAATATCTTGCACTAAATTGTTATCAATTCTGATTTCTCTCTCTTTTTTTTTTTTTGGTACTGGGGATTGAACTCAGGTCCTTGCTCTTGCAAGGGTTTTTCATTATTTTTGAGATAAAGCTTCCCTATGTAACCAAGGTGGCCTTAAACTGGTGATCCTCTTGCCCCAGGCTCTAAGTAGATGGATTGTAGGTATGTGCCGCCATGCTAACTTAATTCTGACAAATCTCCTAAGACAGATTCCTAGAAATGTAAATACAAGGTGAAAGCATTTATACCGTAGCACTTTTCAAAGGGTCAGAGAGGTTAAATCATCTTAAGGAGTCTACTTGCGTTCTTCCTCAATACTCACCAGGAAAAAAATCCTTAAGTTCCACAATTATGGGGTTGGGTGCAATTGACAGTTTAGCTCTCTGGCAAAACCTCTGCAGTCCTGTAATCTCTCAGGGCAAGCAAGGCTTTCAGAATGATCCAGCCTCACACCCAGGGACTATGAGTCTGGCAGCACACAGCACTGGCCACGAGCCAGCAAAGTACTACCTAGCAGCCTCATGGACCAAGGAGAAAACAGGGCGCCTCCTACCAGAGTGGCAGCTGAAGAGAGTGGAGGGACTTGAAGCATCTCATCCACAGGGCTCCAGGAAATATCCAAAGTGATGGCCGTGTGTGACGGGGTGACATCGTCATCCAAGACACTGGACTTAAAGAGCTCATACTGCGCAAAGCCTTTGGCTGTTACCTGAAAGAGTGCACCCAGCAGACTCTTAGCCGAGTCTTCATAGCACCAATGAGCAAAACTACTTTGACATTCATTCCGGGCCAGGGACTTAGCTCAGTGGTGCCGCTGCCTGCCTCCCAAGCGCAAGGTCCTGAGTTTGATCTCTTTTACCAAAACAACAACAACAAAAAGACATTTGTCCCCAGAGAAAGAAAGCACCATACCAATACTTTAATTCCAAAAGGAAAAATAAGACAACTCTTTGAAACCACAAACAGCTGACAGACAGGAAGGCATAGACAGTCACTGTCTATATCCCCGAGTTCTGCATCCATGGCTTCTAGCCTCCATGGATCAACTGGGACCAAGACAACGAGACAGAGGCAGTGTCTGTACTGCCTTTCCTCTTATCATTCCTGACAATACAACAGCGACTATTTACAAACAATTTATATGATAGGTGTTGCAGCACAGCAGTGACATTATTGTGTAAGAGGGGGTGTACAGAGGTTATAGGCAAACAAACACCACATCGCTTCATCTAAGGGACTTGAGTGCAGCAGAGCCTGAGCCCATCCCCTATGCATACACAGGGATGACTGGATCCTAGTTTATACAAAAATAAAACATTCTGACACTACACATATTACGGGTGGAAAAAACCTTTTTAAACTAGGAAAGTAGGTCAGTAACAGAAGAAAATAGAAGGAAAAAAAACAAGAAAATAACAGAAGAAAAATACTTACTGTAGACAAATGATGTCTCTTCTTGTGTGAATTTTTTAGGTTTTCCAGACTTGGAGAATAATTTTTATCAGCTTAGGATGTGAAAGAAAGAAAAAAACTTAAAGGTACAATTCAAAATTACACTGGTAGAACTCAAAAATTATCATCTCTTAAATTCTGAGGGTATCATAATTCAGTACCAGTAACTACTGAAACTAAATTTTAAATCACAGAAAATGAGATCTTTATTTTTAAAAAATGAAAGTGGAACAAAGGTCAATACCACCATCAAAAGTATAATTAAACAGGGCTGGGGATTTAGCTCAATGGTTCCACCACCTGCAAGTGTAAAGACCACAGTTCAATCCCTGGTACAAAAAGGAAACAAACTATAATTAAAGAGCCAGGCACAGTGGCATGTGCCTATTGTCCCACTGCCTGCAGAAGTGGGAAGATTACTGGAGCCCAGGAGCTGGAGATCAGCCAGCCTGTGCAACACAGGGAGGCCCTGTCTCAAGAAAAGGAAGAAAAAGTGAAAAATATAATTAAATGCCCATTTGAGAATGGAACTATAATTATAATCAGTTTTTTATTGAACACTCAATTATATTTTTAAAATCATACTCATATATGTAAGAAGTCATACATTCAATTCATGTGATCAACAAAATTTCCACTGTAGACCTTCTTTTTTATATCAATTTTCAGTAAAAACCACAAAACAGTAACTATGCAAATAAATATACATACATAAAGTACAGATGGAGCATTCACCTTTACAACTGACTGCGTACAAGACAACTCCTGTAATGCTGTCGCCAGCAGTGACAAGCTCAGCTCCTAGCCAACAGGTGCCCTCGGGATCCGAGCTGTCGCATCTGACCCAAAGGGGTGGGAGGGCAGTGACTGGCCGCTCAATCTTCAAATGGGTCATGTTAGGATTGTGAGCCATTGTGTAGAGCCCGATGAACTGCCTTGAAAATAAGAGTGAGAAAGAAATAACCCATCATTTTGAGCCCATGGTGCAGCTCAGGGGTACAGCACATGTGTGGCATACTCAAGGCCGCAACATTGGATCCCTAGCATTACCCAAAAAAACCCAAAAAACAAAAAACAACCTCTTTTAAAAAGATACCATGAGAAAGGCCAGGGATTTAACTCAGTGGTGCCATGTCTACCTCCCAAGTGCAATGTCCTGAGTTCAATCCCCACTACAGGAAAAAAAAAAAGCAAGCTGGAAAAGAAGTGGTCAGATGCACGAATATAAATGTATATATACCTTGCCCAGAGGAGTGGGAATGGAACTTACCAGGCTGTGACCGGCAAACAACCAGCCACAAAACTGAGTGTGACTGGGTAGGAGGAATTATAGGCAGGAAGCTCAACCCAGCAAAGGTGGGGGTCAGCAGGAACAGAAGCAGGGGCAAGATAAACTAGCAAAGCAAGTGGAGCCCATGGCTGTACCGGAAGGTACTCAAAATCACAGGTCACTGGGGCCCTTGAGGAAATCTCATTATAAGTTCTCAATTGGATAACAGTATTGTCATAATGCTAAATTTCCAGATTTTTTTTTTGAGACAATACCTTGGTATGCGGTTCAGGCTGGCCTCAAACTCACAGAGATCCTCCTGCCTCAGCCTCCCAAGCGCTAGGACTATAGTTGTGTCCCCACTAATCCTGGCCTCAATTTTCAGAGTTTGATCATTTTTCCATGGTTACATAAAAAAGTAGTACTTGCTCTTAGGAAATACAGCAATATCTTGATTACAAGCACTGCTTTCTATAAAGAATTCAGTTTGCAAACAGAAGTGTTCAGCAAAATTCTGTTTCTGTTTGCAAACTTGGCAATGGGTGACAAACACGATGGCCATCTTCCCTACACAAACACTGCTGCAGCCATTTTCCCAAAAATCATAAGACAAACTAAGTCTGTAAACCAAGTACTTAGGGGTAAAGGAACATAATGTCTCCAAGATACTGTCTCTATTTCATTTAAAAAGCTGTGTGGGGCCGGGGATTTAGCTCAGTGGTTCCGCCGCCTGCCTCGCAAGCTCAAGGTCCTGAGTTCGATCCCCGGTACCAAAAATAAATAAATAAATAAAAAGCTATGTACATATCTAAGTAGTACATGTATATCTAGCTATCTATGCATGTAAATACATATTATGTCGAGTGCTACCTACATTGTATAAAGACAAAATATATAATGACAATAAATCATAACAGTATGTTACATGCAAATATGTGTGAAACTATATAGATTACTCTGTGCCCTATCTATATGTAGAGAGAGGAAGAGGACAGGGAGGGAGAATGACAGACCAGATTCAGCAAAATGCAGATAATGCGAATCTGAGTTAAGCATATAGATGCTTTGTGCTATTCTTGTAACAGTTCCGTACACTTTAATGTTTATCAAGGTTAAAAATTACTCCAAAATGGGGCTTAATTTTCTTTTTCTTTCTTTCTTTCTTTCTTTTTTTTTTTTTTTGGTACCAAGGATCAAACTTGGGACCTTGCGCTTGTGAAGCAGGCAACAGAACCAGTGAGCTAAATCCCTGGCCTGGCTTAAGTTTCAGAGATGAAAACTTAATTTATTATCAACAGATGTTCAGGAAAGGAATTTCTAAGGGATTTTACTTCCAAAAGAAAGTATAATAATCCCAGAAGATCTGAAATGCAAGAAAAAAATAGTAAAGAAACGTTAAGCGTATGGCTCAGTCTAAACCAACACTGGCTGAAGGAAATACTATGAACAATGTTCAGTCATCACAGAGAAAAGGAAAATGGGCCACACTGTGACTTCAACTCAAGAAGCCATGTGAAGGCAGAGACTGATTAACGCAGAATTGTAAATGTTTTTGAAACTTCTACCACGCAAAGTGAAAGTCACTCCGTGAATACTGTGACAGTAGTTATCATTCTCCAACATTATTTCATGGCTCTACTTTCCATAGCTCCTTGATGGCCAGCACTCGTCTCCACACACAAACGGCTACACCACAGGGAAACAGGAGGTGAAGCTGCTGGGCAGTCAGAGGCGGCAGGCTTTCTGCCGGGGATGCACTGACATCCTGGCGGGTAACTTACGATGGCGCAGGGAGTTCTATGTTGTGGGGCTCCTACCACCCATTGCCAGGCCCACTAAAAGCCAGCAGCTTGTCTGGGTTAGCAAGACAACCAAAAGAGGGCCAGGATTTAGCTCAGTGGTTCCGCCACCTGCCTCACAAGCGCAAGAACCTGAGTTCAATCTCTGGTACCAAAAAAAAAGCTTCCAAAATTCCAAAATACTCCTGGATACTTCAGATGGCCACTGCGTCTGGTAGCAGACTTCCCAGGTAGTAAATGAAGGCTCTGATATGTCACTCGTGAGGAATCTGGTTTCCCACGAAGCAATGAGGAACCAGTAAAGGGGTTTTAAGCAGGGGAGGTATTTGCAAACATTAGTCAGGGAGCAGCGAGGAAGAAAGGCCAGAGAGGAACCATCTTAGTCACATGGAAAACAGCTAACGAGCAAGGACAAGACTTGGCAGAGAAGGGCCGAGAAAGGTACCTGCAGTCTACGTCACGTTCAGAATAGCTGTGTGCTATCAAGCAGAGCGACCCCAAGAGAGCTGGGTGTAAATCTCTCGGGAGGAGGGAGAAGGGAGTTATCTGGGCCTGATATCTTTTTTCATGGTTTATAAGAATGCTCCTGCCCTTATACTGAGAAAAACTTACCTTGCTCTTCCAAGGGGTAAAGCGAGTGGCCCAGCATGTTCACCAGCAGAGAAGTCAGAAATAGCAGTTTCTTCAGATTGTAGTTCTTCAGCATGACTTGTTTCTTCTTTTTCTAAAGGCTTGAAAAGGGCTTTAAATTATTTAACCAGACAAAAGAACATTTAAGATAGTATGCCACTCTTCACTCTGTGAGGCAGTGTCTTACAAACAGAACATAAAATATTGATTTCTATATTCCTGAGCACAGATGACTAGGTTATGGCAAAAATCCCAGCCACAAACTAGGCTGTATCAGAAGCACTTCCCACTGTCCTCTAAACAGATGCTGACTTAGTCGCTGCTGGTCTAGGAAGCACCTGATCCATTCAGAGATACTCAAAAGTATTCAGAGTAATAATAGCTCCGTTCATCTTATTGCTATTGATACGTGCAACACTTTGGGTGGATCTTAAAGGCATGATACTAAGTGAAGGAAGTCAAACGCAAACGGTGATTCCATCATTGAAAAGACGAAACCACAATGCAGAAGGGCTTGGTTGTCACCAGCAGCAGGTATGAGATTACAAAGGACCAGCTGAGAGCATGTGGGGAGGTGGAACTGTGCTATATCCCCACTGTGGTGTGGAGTACAATACTCTATGCATCCACAGAACTGGACAGCAAAACAAAAAGTCAGTTTTACCCAGCTAATGATAATTTCGCTTCTTTTTCTCAATGAAGCTACCAAAAAATTTAAAATTATATATGGTTCATATTATATTTCGACTAGATAGCAGTGTACTTATTCCTGAAAGAATTAGTATCTACCTCTATTAATGTCGCACTTGAGACATTAAGTGTATTAATGTACACTTGAGATTATTCCCAAGGAACAACATTTGGTTGCCAAAGAGTAAATGACCGCAAAACCCAAGCATTGCTTACCACTTTTTCCATGACGAATATGTAGTCATTTTCACTTAGAATATTTTTAATAGGGTTCGGTTGACCCTTGCTGATCAACTGCACTTGAACATCAGCCTGGTAAAAACACATGCCAATGTCATACAAAGATATAAATATATTTATACAAACATTTAAACACACAGACACTAGTTCTGTACAAGTGACTAGGAAAGAGAACTTGAACAAAACATAAATTTCAAAATGAGATTTAACTGATGCCCACGTTACTTTTCATGTTTAGAAAATCAAGTAGCAGACCAGGGTTTTAGCTCAATGGTTCTGCCACCCGCCTTGCAAAGCACAAGGTCCAGCCAAAAAAAAAAAGTAAAGGAAAGAAAAAGAAAGAAAAAGAAAATCAAGTAGCTCATACCCCTCGCCGCTCATGCTTCCTGGCCCACCTGACATACACAGCGCCTCGTACAGCATCCCTCTATTTCAGACTACGCTGCAGTCCTCATTCCTGCTCTTAGTATATTAACCACTACATTCTAACATGCTAGCAGCCCACTACACATTACCATTTCTTCTGATCGCATAATAAAATTTAAAAATTTTTTAACATGTCAGTTTGCAGGAATTGAAGATTTGTTTTCACTAAATCCAAAACATTTATTTTAGAAAAATATAAAAAACACAGCTCGAAAAAACAAAACCAGCCCATAACTCTATTGCCTAGAATCCCCACTGTGATTAGCCTGGCTGGCTTATAACGTTGCCAGATCTCTTTCGAAGACATATAAATCTTTTTTTAAATTTTAATTAGTACATGATTACATACATTGTGGGGGGCTGAGAAGCATAGCGGGAACCACTGAGCTAAATCCCTGGGCCCAGCTCCATTCTTCTTACATCCCCTTCGCCTCCTTTCCCTCCTCCTCCCTCCATCCCTTGGTCTCCTTCCCATATGCAACCAATCTACCTCCGTATCTCCTATTATCTTTCTTTTACTTTACCTTTTATTTATATTTGGGTTTCTCATATAAGAGAAACCATGTGATACTCAAACGTGTGTGCCTGATTTATTTCACTTAATACTGGTCATTTTCTCACAAGTGACTCAAATGTATCCGTTATAGTGGAATCACACTCCACTGTGTACAAAGGATTATATTTTCTATATACATCCACCTGTTGATGGACAGACAGCCCGTTCCCAAGATTTCGTTAATATAAGTTATTGCTATAAACGGGGGTATGCATGTTTCACCATTCTGTGTCTTCATATTTTTCAGGAAGATATCTAGAAGGGGAATAGCTGGGTAGAATGGAAAATTTTTTTTTTTTGAGAGGGTCTTGCTATTCAGGCTGGCCTTGAACTCATGATGATTCTTCTGCATCAGCCTCCTGAGTGCTGGGATTACAGACATATGCCACCATGCCCACAGTGGAATTTCTAGTTTAGTGAGAAATCTCCACATTGATTTCCATAGTATTTGTAGTAGTTTACACTCCAATCAATAATGTAGAAAGGTTTCTTTTTCTCTGCATTCTCACTAGCATCTGTTGTTATTTGATTTCTTTCTTTTCTTTGGTACCGGGGATCGAACTTGGGTCACTCAGCTTGCAAGGCAGGTGGCAGAACCACTGAGCTAAATCCTTGGCCCTTTCTTTTTCTTTATTGAGAGAGGGTCTTCCTATGTAGTTCAGATTGGCCTTGAACTATGTAGCCTAGGCTGGCCTTGAACTCATGGTGATCCTCCTGCCTCAGCTTTCCAAGTGCTGGGATTATAGATGTGTGCCACCACACCTGGCTATTATTTGATTTTTTTTTAATACCAGGGATCGAACTCAGGACCTTAAGCTTGGGAGGCAGGCACAGTGCCACTGAGCTAAATCCTCAGCCCTATTATTTGATTTCTTGATGACAGTGATCCTTTCTGAAGATGGAATTCCAATACTGTTTTAATTTGCATTTTTCAAATAGCCAGATATGCTGAATGCTTTTTTGTGTATTTACTGGCCTTTTATCCTTCTTTTGAGAAGTGTCTATTTATTTAATTGTTTGTTTTTTGATTGGGTCTTTTATTGGGGGGAATCTAATTTTTTTTAGTTCTTAATATATTCTAGATACCAGTTTTTGTCCTCTGTCTGAGGAATAGTTGGCAAAACTTTTTTCCTTGTGTAGGTTGTCTCTTCACTGATTCTTGTTTCTTTTGCAGTACAGAAGCTTTTTAATTTGATATGATCCTATTTGTTGACTCTCAATACTACTTCCTGTGCAACCAGGGTTCTATTCAGAAAGTCCTTGCCTATGCCTATGACTTCAAAAGTTTTATCTTCCAGCAAGTTAAATATTTGTTTTAATATTTAGATCTTATGCTGGGCATGGTGGCACATACTTGTAATTCCAACACTTGAGGTAGGAGGTTCACCATGAGTTTGAGGCCAGCCTGGGCTACATAGTGAGTTCAAAGATACCCTGAATTACAAAGTGAGACAAAACAAAAACAAAAACAAACAAAAAATTTTTAAATTTTTGATTTTGATTTTAGTTTAGTTCTCTGTAAGGGGCTTAGATTCAATCTTCTACTTGTGGACAGCCAGTTTTCCCAGCACCATTTATAACAGAGGTTATCTTCCTTTCAGCATGTTTTTGGCCTCTTTGTCAAAGATCAGATGGCTGAATGTGCATGGGGTTGTTTTGCATCTTCTATTTGTTCCATTGATCCACACATCTGTTTTCATGCTGGTTCCATGCTGTTTTCATCACTGTAGCTTTGTGTACAACTTAAAGCTTCCTGCTTTGCTTTTGTTGCCCAGGATCGCCTTTGCTATTCTGGGTCTCTTCCATATTAATTTTAAACTGTTCTCTCTAGTTCTGTGAGCATTGTTGCAGTTATTCTTATTGGGACTGCATTAAATCTATATATTAATTTTTGAAGTATGGCCATTTTGACATATTGGTTCTACAAACAGGAGCTATCTTTTCTCTTTTTTTTCTGACTTTTTGAGACAGGGTCTTGCTATATAGTTCAGACTGGCCTTGAACTCATTATATAGACTAGGCTGGCCTCAAACTCACAGCAGCCCTTCTTCCTCAGCCTTCCAAGTGCTGGAATTACAGGCGTGCGCCATCACATCCAGCTCTTTCCATTTTCTGATGTTCTCTTTGATCTCCTTTTTTTTCAGAGTACTGTAGTTCTTATGATAGAGGCCTTTCACTTCCTTTGTTAGATTAATTCCTATATATTTATTTTTTCTCGAAGTTTACTGTGGATGATAATTTTCCCCTAATTTCTTTCTCTGTGGTTTTGTTATTGGTATACAGAAACACTACTTTTTGTTTGTTTGTATTTTTTTAGGTTGACATAAGGTCTTGGTGTGTAGTTCCAGCTGGCCTCAAGCACAATAAGTAGCCCAGGTTGGCCTCGAACTCTGGTGATTTTTTGCATCAGCCCCTAAGGGTTGGAATCTCCTCCTACGTAGCTGAACTGTTTATCAGTTCCAGGAGCCTTTTGGTAGGATCTTCCTTTTTTCTTTTTTTGGTTTTAAGACAGGATCTTACTATGTAGTTCAGGGTGGTCTTGCACTCGCTATGTACCCAATCTGGCCTCAAACTCACAGTGATCCTCCTACCTCAGTCTCCCAAGTGCTGGGAGCACAGGCCTGCGCCACCACACGCAGCATTTGATGGAATTGTCTATGTAAAGGATCATGTCATCTGCAAATAAGGATAGTTTGACTTCTTCCTTTCCTACACATACTCTTGTATTTTTTTCTCATGAGGCATATAAAGCTATCTAAATAAAAATGTATCTATTTAGATATCTAGTAAGATTTGGCTTAATAAAGACAAGATCTTTGAATAGTTTTATATCATGAATCTCTTTTCATGGCATTAAATGTTCTTTGGCTGCCTAACCCTACAGATCCTCCGTCACATAAGTAACTCCACATTTGGCAACATTTTGGTAGTTCTCAGTTATTTACTATTATAATAACAATGGACAATAGCATTTGTGAATTATTTTCTTAAGATAAACACCTAAAGTCACAATGATATTCTTAAATTGCCTTCAAACATGTCATACTCACATATTTTCATTTCCATCACTTACATCAACACATTGAGTATTTAAATTATTTTCCCATCTCACATAAAAATTGTATATTATTATCATTTATTCGATCATTAACAAAGGTGAACAGTGGTTTCCAATATGCTTACTAATGATAAGTATATCTCCTTATTTAAATGTTTAACATCATAGTTTGGATACTGAAGCATTTACATACTGAGCTCAGGCAGCCAAAAATATTATTGCATTATTCTTATCTACCAGGCACTGTTGTGGGTTGAACTGTGGCTCCCTACAAAGCCCTAATCCCTCATTCCTATAAAAGTGATCTTATTTGGAAACAGAGTCCTCACAAATCTAATCAAGTTAAGAGGAGGATTAATTTGAATCCAGGTGAGCCCTAGAAGCAGTGGCTGCTATACTTGTAAGGAAAAAGAGATTTAGAGACACAGAAACACAGGGCAATGCCACGAGTCCATATAGGCAGAGACTGGAACAGTTCAACTATAATCCAAGCAATGCCAGACTGCCAGAAAGCACCAAAGCAAGCAGAGGCCAGGAGGGAAACTTTCCTGGATCCCTCAGTAGGACATACTGATTAGACCTCTGGTCTCCAAAATTTTGAGAGAATTTGTGATGTTTTAAGCTGCCCGATTTGTGGCACTTTGCTGTAGCGGCCCTAGGAAACTAACAGATATCAAACATCCAGAATCCAAATAGAAAGGATGAATAAATGGAAGTTCTTGACTCTGAGTTTGGTGAGATTTCAATGAAGTATAACTATATTTGCATTTTCTTAATTATTCATGTCCTTTACTTCTTTTTTTTTTTTTTTTTGTACCACAATCGAACTCAGTGCCTCACTCTTGCCAGGTAGGTGCTGTGCCACTGAGCTACATCCCTGGTTTCCTTTGGCTATTCTTGCATTACGGTTGTGTATTTTTCTTATTAATTTCAAACATATAATATATGATATATATGGGAGGAAGAAGGCAGAGACAGAGAGAGAATATATACATATATTAACCCAAATCATTCATGATTATTTCTCTATAGCTTATCATATAATGCATAATTTATACATTTTATTAACTTACAGATGTAGGTTTTTACTCCCCGGCTATGAGTTTATGAAATACTTAGCACATTTCAGATGCTTAATAAATACATGAATATTTAAAGCAACTTTGTTCATAGTCATCAAAAACATTTAACTACCCAAATGTCCTTCAACCCAAGGTGATAAACTGAGCACAACCATACTCAGCAATAAAAAGGCATGAACAGCTGACCTATATAACACAGATTAGTGGTGGCAAAAGGGTTAGTGATAGAGTGGCCAAACTGCACCCCAAAATATATTTTAAAGCCAAATAAATTGCTCATACCTCATAGATAAATGGGTCTTTACAGGTTTCTTTCTTTTCTTCATTAAATTCCCTAAAATGTAGAATCACATGTGAAAAACAGAGCCACAATACCAGCCTTGTTACTTAAACTCAGAGGTTAAACAACACTTTCCCTCTGCATGGTATGAATAAAAAAAGAAAAGACAAACTACTTATGGAGACCCTCAGGCATAGGTGGAAAGGTGTGAGAACAGAATGAGAGAAAAAAAGACTTGTGGCAGAGATTAACAGACTGCTGCTTACAATTTGATACAAGGGTCTTTTAGAAGCCACAGGAAATTACATTGCCTATCTGTATTCTTCTATATTTTGAACACATCAGTTAATATTAAAATATAATCTGCCCATGACTTTAAGAAAGTAAAAATGGCTGGATTCTGATCTGCCTGAATTAGTGGGTAACTCCCAAGAAGTTACTTAAAAGGTCCCAGGCCTTAGACTTCTTCTATAACTAAATTGGAAGCATTTGTCCTCCATTTTATGAGCTGTTACTAAAAACAGTCAGAAAATTATACTATGTTTAATATTTCCTTTCAAACATGTAAGCAAGAGCTGGTGTGGGGGTGCATGCCTATAATCCCAGAACTCACTGTGAGTTCCAGGACAGTCTGGTCTACATAGCAAGTTCAAGGACAGCCTCAACTGCCTAGAGACCCTGTCTGAAAAATTAAAAAAAAAAAAAAAGGAAGCAAAAAATTCCAGGAGGACATTTAATAATTGTCATTTTAAAATAAGGATCCCGAAGCATGTGAACTATAAATCATTAGAACACTAAAATGACATACAAAAACACACAACTAGCCTGATCTACACTCTGAAAGAGAAAAGAACCTCTAGTCCCTGAAGGAACCCAATACAACAGTTTAAGGACAGCATTTATGTCTATTTGATCTACCATATGACCGGCCGGCCTGCTGCAGCAGAACAGCTGATTCACTTAGGCCATATAGCACAAGACTGTGACTTATTCTTAGATGTCTGTCTTTTATATATAACTCAACAATATTACTTAATCAGTCATTCAACAATCCTACGTAAAAAAAAATCCTATTTATTATAGGCCAGACACTGTTGGTAGATATTGAGGGTATCAACAGAAGCACAGTCTTGACTGAAGTCCAAGGAGTAAAGCAATAGTCACAGAGTCACAGACAAGTACCGTACAGGAAGCTTGGTGGACATTTAACTATAGGGCTCAAACTTTATTCAGTAAGTCCAGAAAAATGTACTACAAGATCTTCAGAGAGGAAGATCTCTGTGACTGTAGTGTGGAAGGTGATAAATGGAGTTCAGGACAACAGCTGTGAGTAATCTACAGCATCTCAGAGCAGTGACAGCACGAATGGTGGCTGAGGCAGGAGAATTGCTGCTAGTTTGAGGCCAGCCTGGTCTTCACAGTAAGTTCAAGATGACTGAGAAGGAATGTGGGGCAGTGAAAACAGAAGGAGAAAAAGGGTCTTGGATTTGGAAATCTTAACTCAAAGACAGAATTTGGGAATAGTAGGTTAAGAAGAAAGATCAATTCAGTCTTGTGGTATTGACGTTGAAGTCCCATGTGAAGCTTTAAAGGACAAACTTTTGGTGCTTATCATTGGAAAGAAAGACTAAACACTATGAAATAACTGGGAACTATAGACAGTCCAAACAAAGCTGTAACAATAGGAGACTGATAAATAAACAAAACAACCACGAAATGAAAAACTATACAGCAGTTGAAAACATTGAGCGAGCCAGAGCCAGCTATAGTCCCAGCACTCAGGAGGCTGAGGCAAGAATAGTGCCTCAATTCCAGGCCAGCCTGAGTTATATATCTGTGGCAGGGAGATAAGAGATTTGAGAATGAATCACGAGCCATTCACACTGGTCTGGTTGGGTGTAGGTCCCATTTTTTAAGGATTTGGTGTAATTTTGCTAATCTGACAAGAGGCACCCAGCAATTATCCAAACAATGGGCTTCAGTAAAACATGATGTTGAGGTCCAGCGGGGCCCTGGGGGAAAATGGAAACTTTTCAGAGTGACATTGGCCCTCAAGGGGGAGGGCAGGGTGGAGAGTGGTCTGACAGTGTTACAAAAATAGGCAACTGTGGAGGCCAGAGTAACTCCATGTTGTAATAAAAGGCTCCATTTCATACTGAGCCTAACCTAAAAATGAACCCAAGCCTTGTGACTGCTGAGCAAAGCAAACTAGTTCCTGAGAAAACAACAGAATGCATAAAACAATTAGATAAGACCACCTGGCATCCTTGTAACTCGGCCACCCTGTAACAACCTTGAACCTCGCCCCCACCCCATGGCTCACCACCCCAACAGCCATTAGGATTTAAATGCAATAACTAACCAATCATAATAGAGGTAAAGCTTGTTACTAAGACTAATATATCCCAAAACCTATAAAAGCGGCTTAAAATTGCTTTTTGAGGTCTCCGATCTCCAATTGGCAGACCCACTGCATGCTGTGCTAATAAAGTGCTCTTGTGTGTTGCATATGTGAATGGTTATCTTCTTGGGGACGCGGCGCTCGGACACAACATTTGGGGGCTCATCCGGGATCGACGCTGCCCCTCAAAGACCCCTACTGCATTGAGCACTTAAACTTTGGAAACCGATCGGTGAGTACTTGTTCTTTTTTTTTGCTTGTGTCCTCTCTTCCTGTTAATGTCTGACAATTGTTTATTGGGAAACTGTGATCCGGATCATTTTGGAGGCCAGGAGGTCCAGGCAGACATGCTAGTGGGCTGCCCACTGCAGGGGCCAGGAAACGTCCCTTGCCCCTCTGGTAGGAACTCTGTCTCTGTGTATATGGGGAGGGGGTTGATTTTTCCCCTCCTCAGGACCCTGGAGTTCTTTCGGGGCCCTCTGGTTTCAGGTGGGGGTGGAATCTTCGAGTACCCTCCTCAGGACCCCGGAGTTCTTCCGGGGCCCTCTGGTTTGGGGGGGGGGGTTTTCCGACTCCCTCAGGACTCCAAAGTTACTTCAGGGCCCTGTGATTTCGGGTGGGGGGGATTTCGGATTCCCTCCTCAGGACCCTGAAGTTGCTTCCCTGCCCTCTGGTTGAGACAGAGTTCTTCTGGTTTTGGAAGAAGAAATTAAGGGGATTCCCCGACAGAGCCCCTGGTTCTTCTTTTGGTTTGTTTGTCTTACATTGTTTGGCCTCTTTTGTTCCCTTGTTTGTCTGTTTGCATATATTGAATTTTCTGATAAAAATGGGAGGGAGCTCATCTACCAGTTTCACCTTGATTTTATTTAATTAATTAATTTATTTATTTTGGTTTTTTGAGACAGGGTCTCCCTATGTAGTTGAGACTGATCTGGAACTCACTATGTAGCCCAGGCTGGTCTCGAACTCACAGCGATCTTCCTCAGCCTCTCGATGCTGGGATTACAGGCATGCACCACCACACCTGGCCCTCACCTTGATTTTAGACCATTTCCAGGAGGTCCATCAGACTGCAGCTGACCTTGGATTCAACATAACTAAGGAAGAGATTTCAAAACAACCCAGCCTAGGAGTTGCTCAAACTTCTGCTCTGTGACAATCAGCTGCTAACGAAAACTATTTAGTTTTGGTAACACTTCTTGTACACTGCAAATTCTTGAACTGTGATTATAGGGTTAACTTGCTCTTTTCTAAAAACTCAAGGTTAATACTGTTCTATTGGCAGCCAGTCAAATTTTAAGATGTAACAATCTGAGAACAAAAAAGGACACTTTAAGCTGAAGTTTGTTATAAAAGGTTTACATTTACAGTCAAGAAGAACTTTCATTCCTTTAACCCTAATTCTATAAGAGGTCTCTGTTAATTTTGACCTGCAAAAGTTTTGACTAGTCCTAACTAAAAGGTTTTATAATTCAATTGGCCAAAACCATCTGAGTGCACTCTGGTTTAAATTGTCTTATATGTTTGTCTGTCTAAATGTTCAAAAGTGTTTGTCCAATTATATTTTTGATCAAAATGATGTCAAATACAAGTAGATTGTTGATTTCTACAACCTGGCTTTATAGGTTAAATTAAAAAAAAATTTAAAGATAATTAAATATAAACTTTAAAGTTTGGGTACACTCCTGTTGGTAAATAAAAAAGCAGTTGCTCAGAAAATTTATTCTGATCTTTGTTCACTAATGGGAGCCGCCCAAATAAATTTCATAGCCTTATAAAAAGATATGCCTTATTAAATATGTTGTCAAAAATGTTTACATTGGTTATCATCAAAGGGCTGAGTTCTAAATATATTATTATAACATGTTATCTTCAAAATATTGCTACTTTTCTGGTATACAAAAATGTATTCATGTTGTTTGACCATGCAGGTTTTCCAGCATATTGTTTATGACAATAACCTTTTGATCCAGGTATTCTCCCTTCTCTTCTGCTCCACCTATTTATGGTTACAGGTACATTTATAGACCCATCACTATCCCTGAACAGCTTAAAGATGAGTTTCCATTGAGGAGACCGGATTGGGACCCCAATACTGAGGTAGGTAAGGAGAGGCTCCAATCTTACCGCCAGGCTCTATTGGGGTGTCTCCAAGCTGCCACGAGGCAGCCCACAAATTTATCCAAGCTAAGTCAGGTTAAACGGGGACCTGAAGAATCTCCAAGTGCCTTCCTTGAGAGACTTCTAGAGGCATATAAGACATATACGCCTCTAAACCCAGAAGAAAAAAAATAACCGGTCAGCAGTTTGCATGGCTTTTGTCAGTCAGTCAGCTCCTGACATCCGAAAACAAAATCTACAGAAAATTAAAGGCTTTAAAGGTAAGAGGCTGATCAAATTAATAGCAATAGCTGAAAAAGTGTATAATAACAGGGACCCTCTGAAAGAGAGACAGGCTAGAGGAATTACAAAAGTGTTGCTGGCCTCCTCAGACAGCCTTTAAAGGGACAAAGGGACATATCATAAAGATTATAATGCGGGGAAAGAAAAATTGGAAACAAGACCTTGTGACAGATTGCAGAGAGATCAATGCGCCTACTGCAAAAAGGACATTAGAAGCATGAGTGCCCTCCACTGCTCAAAGAAAGGGGTACCAAAGAAACTAAGGCAAAAGTTTTAGAGTTAACTGATTTAAATAATTAGAAAAAACGGGGTTCGGAGCCCCTCCCCAAAACCTGTGCGCTTCCATGTAGATACGAGAGCCCAATATTCCATTAAAAAAAAAAAGCCCCATGGGAGCTATGTCCACAAAGTCTACATGGGTTCAAGAGGCCACCAGAACAGATAAATATACATGGACTACCAAGAGAATGGTGGACCTAAAAAAAAAAAAAAAAAAGTGACCCACTCGGTTATGGTTATCCCCAATTGCCGTTATCTTATGAAAAGAGATTTATTAACTAAGGTGGAAGCTCACATTTATTTCAAAAAGGATGAAATAACTGTCTCTGATAAAAATAATGAGCCAATTCATGTTCTAACCCTAAATCTAACCGATGAATATAAGCTTGTACAGGAACTTCTGTTGCCTAATGATCAAAGATACCAGCATTGCTCCTTAAAAAAGTGGATAAAAGAAATTCCAGGAGTATGGGCAGAAATTGGGGGACATGGACTTACACGACACCGTGCTCCGATAATCGTTCAGCTCAAGGCCCATACTGCCCCGGTCCATACTAAACAATATCCAATACCAATGGAAGCCAAAAAGGAAATTATGCCCCATATCCAGAAACTAAAAGAGATGGGGATATCTTAACCTCATGCCAGTCCGCCTGAAACACACCACTGCTCCCCATTCAGAAGCCAAACTCGGAGGACTACAGACCAGTACAAGACCTTCGCGAGGCAAATAAATGGGTGGAAGATATTTATCCCACTGTGCCTAACCCTTATACTCTTCTTAGCTCCTTACCCCAAAACAGACAGATTTACACGGTGCTTGACTTGAAAGATGCCTTCTTCTGCCTCCCACTGGCAAAACAAAGCCAGCCCTTCTTTGCCTTCAAGTGGTCATAACTGGAGAATGGATTCAATAGACAATTAACTTGGGCTCAACTCCCACAGGGATTCAAAAACTCACCCACCATCTTTGACGAGACGCTCCACGACGACCTGGGTGAGTACAGGACAATGTTCCCAAAAGTGACTCTTCTACAATATGTTGATGATTTGATATTGACTACACAGACTATGGAAAAATGCACAAAGGCTATGGAGGCCATTTTACAGACCCTTGACAAATTGGATTATCGGATTTCAAAAAAAAAGAAAGCCCACCTGTGCCAATCAGAAGTAAACTATTTAAGTTACATACTCAAGGGGGGCAACGCCACTTGTCCACAGCTCAGAAAGAAACCATCCTTTGGATTCCACAACCAACAAATCGCCAAGAGGTAAGAGAGTTCCTCGGGTCAGCAGGATTTTGTAGACTTTGGATTCCTGGGTTCACTGAACTGGCAAAACCTCTATATGAGGCAATCAGAGGACAATCCCCACTTAAATAGACAACAGAAATGAAAAAGGCCTTTAAGGCTATAAAGTCTGCTCTACTTAAGCTACCTGCTCTGGCTTTACCTGATGTCTCTAAACCTGTTCAACTCTATATAGATGAACACAAAGGAATTGCAAAAGGAATACTGACCCAGGCACTAGGCCCCTGGAAAAGGCCAGTGGCCTGTCTGTCTAAAACAACTTGATGCAGTAGCAGCCGGCTGGCCACCATGTTTGCACATTGTGGTCGCCACAGCACTTCTCACTAAAGATGCTGACAAACTGACCATGGGCCAAAATTTAACAATCACCACCCCACATGCCATGGAGAGAATATTGGCGAGCCCTCCAGATAGACAGATTTCAAATGCTAGACTAGTTCAATACCAGGCCCTACTTTTAAACCCTCCACGAGTCCAATTTCAGACAGCAACAATTCTCAACCCGGCAACACTGCTACCAGATCCAGATTTAGAAGGTCCTCTACATGATTATGAGATCATATTGGACAGCCTAAGGACGGAGTCAGATATTCTGGAGCAGCGGTGACTACAGAGACTAAGATAATTTGGGCAGAAGCCCTACCTATTGGGACATCAGCTCAAAAAGCTGAATTAATAGTCCTCACCAAAGCCCTCCAACTTGGACAAGGAAAAGCTTTAAACATTTGCATGTTTACATGCTATACATTCGCTACTGTTCATGTTCATGGGACCATACATGGAGAAAGAGGACTACTAATAGCCGAAGAAAAAACTATCAAAAATAAACAAGAGATTTTAGACCTACTGACTGCTATATGGTTACCCTATCGTGTGGCTATCATGCACTGTTCCGCGTATCAAAGAACTGGAGGCTCAATAGCCCGAGGTAACAATTTCACAGGCCAAATGGCCAAAGATGCAGCTATAAGGCCTACGATGACATTGTCCCTTCAACCCAGCATAATAGAGCTTATACTGCCAAAAAAAAACCAACAAAACCCCCAAAACCAACTAAATATATAAAAATACAGATACAATACGCACAGTCATCAGGATATAAAAAAACAACAAAATGGCTGGTATGTTAATTCTCAGGGGCTATTTCTTTTACCCTCTAACTATGCACAAAGTTTGCTCCAGCAGATACATCAGTCAACACATCTGAGAGAAAGAAAAATGGAAGAATTAATAAGAAAGTTCCATTTAAAGTTCTTTGGCCTCAGACCAAAACTTAACCAAGTTATAAATGACTGTACAGCTTGTAAGCTGGTTAATGCAAAACATGGATCTATGCAAATAAGAACAAGGAGAGGATCGAAACCTGGCATAAATTGAGAAATAGATTTTACAGAAATTAAGCCAGGTATGTATGGATATAAATACTTATTAGTGTTCATAGATACCTTTTCTGGATAGATAAAAGCATATCCAACAAAATAGTAGTTAAAAAATTACTGGAAGAAATAATACCCAGATATGGACTGCCTTTGCTACTAGGATCTGACTGACAATAGACCTGCCTTCATCTCTCAGGTAAGGCAAGGGTTAATTAAAATTTTGGGGACTAACTGAAAATTACATTATACATATCATCCCCAAATTCAGGACAGGTAGAAAGGATAAATTGGATCTTAAAAGAGACCTTGACTAAATTAACCCTGGAGACTGGCAGTGACTGGGTAACTCTCCTTCCCTATGCTCTTATTTAACCCCTTATGAAATTATATATGCTAGGCCCCCACCTTTACTCCCTAATATATACTCTGAAATGTTACTTGAGTTTAATAACCAAAAGTTTCTTTTTACATGAAAACAACTTTTACAGGAATAACACCACCAGAGGCCCATCCATTCCAGCCGGGTGATTTAATATTGCTAAAGAGACATCGAGCTAGAAATCTTAAACCCCGTTGGAAAGGGCCCTACACCGTGATCCTCGTGACTCCATTGGCTACAAAGGTAGATGGGATTCCAAAATGGATTCATCACAACCACATCAAAGCGACAGGGACAACGCCCCAAATGGACTAGAAAATCCAAGGACACCCAACCAACCCACTCAAGCTTTGGATAACAAAAAAAAGGCCAGACACCAAGGATAGATGCCCCCGATGCAAGGGACCAAAACATTAAAAATTGACTGCCATATATCTAATTTGTTTATTACTTTTTGTCCCAACAGGTCACTCTACGAGGGTGAGTCCACACCACCCATTAAATGTGACCTAGACTATCTACGATGACTGGCACCATAGCAAATTCCACTTCCAAGCTGGCTTCCCCCACCACCTGGTTCCCGGACTTACTAGTCACCACAGATTGGGACCCGTCTGACCAACAGCCTTTTCCTGGATATGGATGCAAGACTCCAGGAGCGCGAGGCGACACCCGTAAGCAATATTTCTATGTCTGTCTAGGACACTCCAGATCACACCAGAAGCAATGTGAATATGGGGGGCCAGATCAGTTCTTCTGCAAAAATTGGGGCTGCGAATCTGCAGGACGGATGACATGGCAGGCACCAGTCAAAAGTGACCTTATTACACATAGTACAGATGCCTCTGGCTGTCGATGACAACAACCTTCGACAACTGCCACACTGACTTTACAACAAGTGTCTGGCCTTAGGGGGACTTTGTGCTGGGATAATTCCATCATCCTATCAGTCTCTATATAATCAAACTGTACCAATGGATACTTCTCAAGGATATCTTGTTCCCCCCAATAACGCTTGGTGGGCATGTTCCTCAGGCCTAACTCCCTGCATTAATACCATGTGCTTAATTATACTTCCGATTTTTGTATCCTTGTTCAACTAGTACCCCATTATTATATATTATACTGATGCAGAGCTTGACCTTCGAATGTCACTGAGTATCTCTCGATCCAAGCGAAAAGTAATTACTGCTGCTCTGCTGTCCACTTTTTTGGGCCTTGGGGTAGCTGGTGCCATAGAACAGGTACCTCTGCCTTGATTCTACAAGACAAAAATTATCAAACTTTACACATTGCCATAGACACAGATATTGTTAGCCTTGAACAGTCTATTTCTCATTTACAAGAGTCCCTGTCCTCTCTAGCTGAAGTTGTACTTCAAAATAAGAGAGGATTAGATCTGTTTTTACAACAAGGGGGTCTTTGCACTGCTTTACAGGAACAATGCTGTTTTTATATAAATCATTCAAGGGTGATAAGACTCTATGGCCCTATTAAAAAAACACCTCCATGGGCTGGGGATTTAGCTCAGTGGTTCGGTGGTCTGCCTTGCAAGCTCAAGGACCTGAGTTCAATCCCTGGTACCAAAAAAAAAAAAAAAAAAACAACCACAAAATCAACAATCCCAAGGTTGGTATAAAACCCTGTTCAAAAATACCCGCTGCCTGACTACCCTGGTTTTGTCCTTAATAAGACCTTTAGTCATTTTGATTTTGCTACTAACCTTCGGCTCCTACATACTTAACAAACTAGTCACCTTTGTCAAAAAACGGGTATCAATGGTCTAACTCATGGTGTTAAAATCACAGTACCAAGAAATTCCCCCAGAAATAGAAGATATAATATATGAACCCACGATGAGCCCATGATTGAGCTGAAAGTTACATACTCAAGGGGGGAAATGTGGAGGCCAGAGTAACTCCATATTGTAATAAAAGGCTCCATTTCATACTGAGCCTGATCTAAAAATGAACCCAATAGTCTTGTGACTGCTGAGCAAAGCAAACTAGTTCCTGAGAAAACAACAGAATGCATAAAACAGTTAGATAAGACCACCTGGCATCCTTGAAACACGGCCACCCCATACCAACCTTGTAACTCGGCCACCCTGTAACAACCTTGAACCTCGGCCACCCCGGATAGCTCACCACCCCAACAGCCATTAGGATTTAAATGTAATAGCTAACCAATCATAATAGAGGTAAAGCTTGTTACTAAGACCAACGTACCCCAAACCCTATAAAAGCGGCTTAAAATTGCTTTTCGAGGTCTCCGATCTCCAAGTGGCAGACCCACTGCATGCTGTGCTAATAAAGTGCTCTTGTGTGTTGCACACGTGAGTGGTGATCTTCTTGGGGACGCGGCGCTCGGACACAACAGCAACCAGGGGAGATTCCCTGAAGGACACGATGGCCAAGGCCAGGGCACGGGAGACTCAACAAACAAAAGGCCTGGTTAAATTGGGATTTTTCTGTGGAGGAATAAGATATTCATATCTCTTCTAAAGAATGCCTTTGAAAGTTACAACTAATGGTGCATACTCAGAGTTCCTATAGAATTAAGTTCTGAGCCAAACTTTCCTGCTTTTTACCCTTTAAGCTGACCTCAATTTGGCTGAGATGTAGTCGTTTTTGCCTACAAAAACTCCTAGACAAAGGGTTCCTTTGTCGCTAAGCATAGTAGCGCAAGCCTGTAATCACAGCACTTGGAAGGCAGAGGCAGGAGGATCCCCGCTAGTTTGAGGCCAGGCTGAACTCCATAATGAGTTCAAGACCAGCCTGGATTACACAGAAAGACCCTGTCCTCCCAAAAAACAAAACAAAGAAAAGAGGACCAACAGAGGATTTAAAGGCAAAGAAGGCAGAAGCTGACATCTAGATTTACCTACTCTGGGAAGGCCCTCTACCGATCGCCAGTGTGTATACATCAGAAGATGCGCCAGGAACACTTGTCACCTTGGAACACTAGTAGTCTCTATGCCCAACACTTCCGCCAAATAACCCCACACCAGAGCACAGAGCCTCCCCCTCTCCCATTCCCAGACTAGAACAGCTGGCAAAGCGCCACTCCAGGGCGTGCCAAAAGACCTGGGGCAGGTACCCGGATATCCAAAAGGACACGGGCTGTTCCAGGACCCGGGCGACAGTAAGAACGACAACTCACTGCAGGAGGCGAGCATAAAACTCCTCGGTAGCTAGGTTTGTTCGCGCCCACATCGCCTCCCTAACCTCAGTCGGGTCCGGAACCGCCAAATTGAATTGAGCGCCCAGACGTCGACGTCAGAGGCCATGACCCCGCCCCACCGGAACTACTTTCACACGGAACACATCCGATTTCGGCAAAGTTAAACTTTTTTGTGTGTGAGAACACCCAGTTATGTTTCTTGTTCCAATAGCCTTCCCTTTTGTATCAGAAAAAAAGTTAAAATAAAATAATGTTGGAGTTGCAGGAACAGGTAACTCATCTCTCGAGACTTGACCACACCCCTTGCAGATTAGTCCGCGAAAAGGAGTTCCTCCTTTCTAAACACTCTTATTAGCGTTGTAGAAAATAAGTAGCGTACTTTTTCACACATAAAGAAATAGTACGACATTTCTTGTTTTTAGAGTTGGTTGGGAGTTATTTCGTTTCTCTCTGCATGTTCTGAGGCGGAGCCGGGTGGGAGAAACGAGCTGAAGGATACATATAGAATGGGAGTGGTAGGCACTTCCTTTTCCCGTGGGAGCTGCCGGGTTGAGAGGAGCGTGGCCTTCTCCTCTCCCCGACATGGTGAGTACTACCCTGTTTGGCTGCACTTTTCCCTGATGTCTGGGCCAGTAGAGAAGGATGGAGGAGTCAAGACATAAAGTCTGAGCGCGAAGACGCGAGCAGGAGGAGGAGGAGATAAGCGTCAAATGTTCTTGCTGCTGGCAGGGAGCAAGGTTGTGGGAAAAATGTGGCAGCCATCTTAGACGCAACGTGAGTGTCCCGGCCCGGGCTGCCTGGACGCGATCAGAGAAGCCCATAGACTCTAACGGCGACTTTTAGGATCTTAGCTGGCCTCGGATTTTAGAAAATTTAGTTCTGCCAGGCGAGGCAGTAGGATTGACACAAGTTCGAGGCCAGCCTAGACTACAGAGCGAGTTCAGCCTGAGCTACTTAGGGAGACCCTGCCTCAAAAGAAAGAAAACTTGGTGGTTCAAGAAACGGAAACCTTAGGGCCTGAGCCCGAATTAGAGAGGATCTGCATGGACCGTGCATGTTCGATTGCTGTCTAGGAAGATGTATTTTCTTCAAAGGCAGAGTCTTCGTTAGAAAAGGTCATTGTAAATACATTTCCCTTGAATGTTTGTCACTCTAGCTTAACTGAAAAAAGTGATGGATTTGGTGTTTAGGTGTTTGGACCCACACCCAGCGCGCAGGACGGTTGCTACATGTATGGCTTTTCTCTGTACATCGTCCATATGTGTGTTACATGGTGTGCGGTGCCACGGGAGTTAGTGGACGGAAAAGATAGTGCTGTTCTCCATGGGTCACGGCGGAGTTGGTCTGAATACAGTAGTGTTCAGCTGTATTAAATGCTGAGGACTTGGGGAATTGGACAGGAGGCCAAGGTTCAGTTCTAAACAAGGATGAGAGAAAGTGGCGTGAAGAGTAGGGGAGGCCTTTGGTGAAAGCCTGCTGACCTGAGCAGAAAGGGAGGGCTGGGGTGCTGTTGATGGTAGACTGCTTAGATTCCGTCTCCAGCACCTCAAAAAGGACAGTATGGAAGACGAGGTCAAAGAAGAGCAGGTTGTGTATGCCGCCCTCAGGACTTCGGTTTTACTCTCAGATGAGAGGCATGGGGGAGCACAGTTGAATAGTAACAAGATGAATTTTTACTAGTAAGCTTTTGGAGATGTATTTCCATGGGATAAGGGGACCCCGGTGAGCAACATTTTATAAGACTGGCTTGTCAATATTTTTGATGAGGGTTTTGTCTTTGAAAAATTTTCAGCAGAACTTGATAATGTTTTTCTGTACCTGGGAAATAACTCAGGATTTTGCGCTTGGGAGGCAGGCAGCAGAACCACTGAGCTAAATCCCCAGCCCAGCCCAAAACTTGCTAATCTTGAGTGAAAGAGTTTATTGAAGTATTAATAGAGCCTGCTGGTGTAATTTGTAACTTAGTCTTTGGTGCTTCAGCTTTAAACGTCTGGGCTCTTTTGTAACATTTAATGATATTGCTGGCACATGAAAGAGTTTGCTTCTGACATTGCTTGTCAATATAAATATCTTTTTCCACCCAAGGCTTGTGCTCGTCCCCTGATATCGGTGTATTCCGAAAAGGGGGAGTCATCTGGCAAAAATGTCACCTTGCCTGCTGTGTTCAAGGCTCCCATTCGACCAGATATTGTGAACTTTGTTCACACCAACTTGCGTAAAAACAACAGGCAGCCCTATGCTGTCAGCGAATTGGCAGGTATGGATTTGCATTTTTCGTGGGTTGATCTTTTAAGAGCTGCTTTACAGTAGTGATGAAATGCCACTCCATTGGTCCGTGTTTCTGAAGCACATGATTTTCTTGGATAGTCTGATACTGTCTGTTACCGTGGATAGATAAGTCATACATTGATTGGTCCAACAATGTAGCTAAAGCCTTTTAATTTCTTCCCAATTTTAGGTCACCAGACCAGTGCTGAGTCTTGGGGGACTGGCAGAGCTGTGGCTCGAATTCCCAGAGTTCGAGGTGGTGGGACCCACCGCTCTGGCCAGGGTGCTTTTGGAAACGTATCCTTTGTTTACGTGCCTGACTGGTTGGTGCTCGTGGAGTAGACTGGACCAGGTTTATTCACATGAATGTATGCTGCAGTATCTGTGTCCAAAATGCTAAGTGTAGTAGGTAAACACTACTCTAGGCAGAAGTGGGATCTGGGGATTTTTTTAAGGGCTTCCCATATAGACATTTTGCTTGCAATGATGTCGTAATTTGCGTCTTACTCTGTTCTCAGCGACAGTTGCCTGCTGTCAGTAAGCTGGTACAGAAGGTTGACGAAAATTGTTACTGAGCAAGACGTGGCCTTTGAACTCCTAAGCTTTGTAAGTGCAATTCTTAACTAAGAAATAGATGTGTCGAGGAGGCCGCATGTTTGCACCAACCAAAACTTGGCGACGTTGGCACCGTAGAGTGAACACAACTCAGAAGCGATATGCCATCTGCTCTGCCTTGGCTGCCTCTTCCTTGCCAGCGTTGGTCATGTCAAAAGGTTGGTGACGTTATTTTCTCCTAACAGTGGTAACTGTTCACCTCAGAGTGTCCTACTGTAAAGGGCCCCTTACCAGCCCAGGGATGTATTTCACAGGTAGAGCATTTGGCTCTGTATTCTATCTCCAGCTCTGCAGTAAATAAGTATCCCTTTATTAAATGCAGGTTCTGGTTACTTCAGTCTAACTTAACAAATCAGCTACATCCTAACTGGATATAATTAAGAGAGTTTTATTTTTAAACTCCCTTTGTGTCTTATGTGGCAGTTTAAACTGTCAAAATGATGAAATTCCACTTAATTGGTCCGTGTTTCTGAAACACATGATAATTGTGGAAATTCTGACTTGGCAGTTTAGTTTGTATGTTTTGCTATACACACACACACACACACACACACACACACACACACACACACACACACACACACACACACACGTGTTAACTTTCAAGAGCCTTTGGATAACCAGCTTAATCTTCAATTGGCTTTGTCAGGTCATAGAATTGAGGAAGTTCCTGAACTTCCCTTGGTTGTGGAAGATAAAGTTGAAGGTTACAAGAAGACCAAGGAGGCCGTTTTGCTTCTGAAGAAACTGAAGGCCTGGAATGATATCAAAAAGGTAGGTGTTAGGGCCAGGGATTTAGCTCAGTGGCACTGCGCCTACCTCATAAGCACAAGGTCCTGAGTTCAGTCCCTGGCACCACAAAAAGGTAGGTTTAATGTTCACTTAACATTCTAAAGATGATTTGTGATGCTTCGGTTGAAGTACAAGTTTCTGGATTATCCTTTCCCTTTGAAGGCATTACTCTGCTTAATGTAAGCAAGTTGAATATTCTGAAACTTGCTCCTGGTGGGCATGTTAGGTGCTGTTGCATTTGGACTGAAAGTGCTTTCTGGAAGCACTTTATACTGTTATCTAGAGGATAATGACAAAATTGTATGAGCACTTTCAGTATATAAAAGTATTTTTAAGAATATTTTTCCTCTGGGTTGGGTTGGCTTGGGGATGTGGAACTAGCAGCTTGGGGGGGACAACTATAGCTAAGCCCTTCTGTGTCATATGCGAGGGCTTTTAACCATGGTGATCAACTGCAGAGCTCAGGCCTTAATATTCAAACTGCTGGCTTTGTAGGTCTATGCCTCTCAGCGAATGAGAGCTGGCAAGGGCAAGATGAGAAATCGCCGTCGTATCCAGCGCAGGGGACCTTGCATCATCTATAATGAAGACAATGGCATCATTAAGGCTTTCAGAAATATCCCTGGTAAATCTTACACTGTTGATGTGTTACCAACCTTTATTGTACCTGCACTTGGCCTTGATAATGATGAATTCCACTTCATGGTCCGTGTTTCTGAAGTCAGTGATTGTGCGGAAGTTCTGATGTCTGGCTAAATGAATTGCACTGTTGACGTTTGAAATCTCATACTTAATATAGTTCTTGCGTAACTTATGTAGCACTTATTCTCTAAAGATGATTTGTGATGCTTCTGTTGAAGTACAAATTTGCTGATTCTCCTTTCCCTTTGAAGGCATTACTCTGCTTAATGTAAGCAAGCTGAATATTCTGAAACTTGCTCCTGGCGGGCATGTTGGGCGCTTCTGCATTTGGACTGAAAGTGCTTTCCGCAAGTTAGATGAGTTGTACGGCACTTGGCGTAAAGCTGCTTCCCTCAAGAGTAACTATAAGTGAGTGTTCCTCATATTCATACACAGAATATGTGTTTAAACTGCACATGGACATTCAAAAGTGGTTTGCATACTTAAGATTGTTTTACTCGAATTTCCCTTTATGATGTAAGCAGTGTGCTGTAGCATGTTATAAATATTCAGTTGCTGTTTTATGAGATGTAGGGAAACTTCTGAGTTTTGGAGAATTAAATGGTTTAAACAGTATTAAGATTTATGTTTTTCAGTCAGCTGTGTGAGAAAAGAATTCAGTACCCTTATGGCTCTCTCCTTCAGCCTGCCTATGCACAAAATGATCAATACAGACCTGAGCAGAATCTTGAAGAGTCCAGAGATCCAAAGAGCCCTCCGGGCACCACGGTAAAATCTTGATATTTACAGTATAATTCTTCTGCAGAATTATTTCAGTAATGGGTAGAATGTCAGTAAAATGTCTGTTAATCTGCCTTTTCTAGCAAGAAGATTCATCGTAGAGTCCTGAAGAAGAATCCTCTGAAGAACCTGAGGATCATGCTGAAGCTGAACCCATATGCAAAGACCATGCGCCGGAACACCATTCTTCGCCATGCCAGGAATGTAGGTGTTCATTTGTTGTTTGTTTGGTACCTGGGGATCAAACTTGGGTCTTTGCACACCTGCAAGGCAGGCAGCAGAACCTGAGCTAAATCCCTGTCCTCATTTGTTTTTACTGATAGGTCCATCAAACTTGGGTCTTTGCACACCTGCAAGGCAGGCAGCAGAACCTGAGCTAAATCCCTGTCCTCATTTGTTTTTACTATGATAGGTCCAAATATATTTAAATATATATATACATATATTCTCATATTTTCTGCCTAATTTGTTGCAGCACAAAATCCATCTGGAGAAAGCAGCAGCACGGGCAGCCAAATTGAAAGAGAAGCTTAAAGGCAAGAAGCCCGTGGAAGAGAAGAAGGGGAAAAAGGCTGCAGATACCAAGAAGCCTTTGAAGAAACCTTTAGGGAAAAAGCCTGCAGCTGCCAAAAAACCAGCTGAAAAGAAACCTGCAGCCACCAAGAAACCAGCAGCTGAAAAGAAGCCTGCTGAAGAAAAGAAGACTGCTGCATAAACTCTTAAAATCAATCCCTATCCTAGACAGGTGACATAAAATTGGACAGCTTATTTTGAATAAAGACCTGGTTAGGGAGGCAGTGAGAAACATGGCTGTTGTGTGAATCATTAGGGCATTTTGTAAATTACACTTTGTTCTCTTCCAAATCCAGCCCCCCCACACCCCTTGGGTGGGTGGGGGTGACAAAGCTAACCTCACTCAGGATCTGCCTGCCCCAGCCTCCCAAGTTGCTGGATGACAGGTGTGTGCTACCACATCTGGCCAGATTCCAGCCTTTCATTTGCCCTAAAATGTAACCTTGGTTGCATCCCTCATCCATCCATTTGAATGGAAGAGGGATTTGTGAATTATTTCCATAAAAATAAGTCTCGGAATTCTAGTCAGCAAGAAAGCTTGAAGTTCATAAAAGATAAGATATTTACGGTGATCTTAGGTGGTTAATTGCGTGCAGTTTGAAGGTGCTGGTAAATTCAGTGGTTGGGCTGAGGGTGTAACTCAGCTGCACAGCACCTTGTTTGGCAATTGCAAGGTCAATCCCCCCACCCCAAAAAATCTGATGGTAACTCAAGTGTCACCTGAAGATAGGTAACAGCTGGAGAACTCATTGTCTAACGTGTGTGGTCATGGTCTGAAAAAGTCCAGAAAGTTTCACGGGTATTTTAGTTTGCCTTGCTGGTGGGTGTTTTAACAAAGCTTGGAGGAACTGTTTATGAAGTGTTGCCTAAACTATCTTAGGGCTTTTGGCCCCCTTCTTGTGGATCTCCCACCCTAGAATTGCCTCATGCTTTTGCTGTGAACCCTTGGCTGCTCAGTCAAATGAAAGTTGACAGCCTTCGCTTCTCCAGGGCCAGGTTTGAGTTCCTCAGTAAGGACTTGACAGTGGCAGTCCATAAACACGGCCACCTCCTGTCTAGGACAGGGAAGCCAGTATGGGGGGGGCATATTTATCTGCCTAACTAGAGTTAAGGTCCCGGAGTTTTGTCCTAGAAGCTGGTTTTGCTGCCTGCTTTCACGTCTTCTGCAGGCTTTGTGAATCAAAAAAAAAAAAAAAAACTCGCTCTCATTAGAAGTGAGATGGACTAGTATTGCTCGAAACTCCCGGGGTGTACTAGTTTTCTCTAAGACGGCTATCAGGTCCCTTAGAAGCTTTAGGAGACATCACTCCAGTGTCCAGGTGTTTTGTACCCTGGAAAGAGCCCTCCGTAAACCAGCTGCGCCGTTACCCAGCGATACCACGTGCTGAGGGAAGCCCTTCCGCCTTCCAACATGGCCGCCAGTCCCGCTTCCGCGCATGTCTGCGAGGCAATGGTGATTGCGTCATCACGGCGCGCGCACCGGCTTCACAGGGCTGCGGCGAGCTAAGAAACCATGCTGAGCCGGCTCCAGGAGCTACGCAAGGAGGAGGAGACCCTGCTACGGCTGAAAGCGGCTTTGCACGACCAGCTGAACCGCCTCAAGGTGACCCCGCCGTCCTCCATTCCGACCGTCTCCCTCAGCCCGGCGTTCCGCAGCACCTGCCTGCAGCCGCCGGCTCCGCTGAGGCCCTCACGGCGCCTATCTAGCCGCTTAAAGGAGTAGCAAAAGCAGCTGGGGAGGTGGCCTGGCGATGACTAGGCCCACCCTTCTGACCCGGCAGTCTGTTTGGCAGGTGTCCTCCCAGACCCGCCTCGCCCCTGGCCGGCCGCACGAACGCTGACTGCCAGCACCCCGAGGACGTGCACCTGCCCGAGGCCGCCCGACCTCCCCGGCCGCGCCTCTGCAGCTCTTGCTTACTAGTTTGCACTGGCGCTTAAAATGGCTCTCATGTTGCACGCCTTGAAAAGACTTTTCAGAGCCTTCTGTTGTTGGACGGAAGACACTGATCCCGGCGAGATTTTTGTCCCAAAGGCTAGAATTCCAAGGAGCTCTTGGAGGAACTGTTGCTAAGTCCATGGCGTTTAGGAGTGGGAGTTAGGCTCACCTGCGTCACTCTCCATACGTGTGGGCAATTCAGCCTCTGTAACACTAACATTGTAATCCCGCATCAGCATCCTTATTCAGGGTCTTTAAATCCAACTCACTTGAGGATTATAAAAGCCCTTTGTAAACTGAATGCGTTCTGTAATTGTGACATGTCAAAATAATAAGCGTTTTTCCCATGGGCAGTAAAAATGAATGCATATGCAGAAGTAGCACTGATCCAGGGTACCTGAATGATGCCCCCAAAACCCAGAATCGCTCATGCTCCAGGAAACACCTATTTCCTCTTCTTGCTTCACTTTCTCATTACCGAAAACGAGTGTAGATCTAGGAAATCCATCCCTATGTAGAGCCAGAAAATGACGCCTGGCAGCTCACCAAACCCGGGGAATTGAACCCTGGACCTTTGCGCTGAGCTATATGCCCAGATGTTTTTGTTTATTTTTTGAGACGGGCTAAGTTGCCCATGCTGGGCTCAAACTTGAGATCCTCCTGCCTCAGTCTCTCGGAGGAGCCTTGCCCCTCCACTCCCAGCTACACCTGGCTTTTTTTTTTTTTTGTACCAGAGATCGAACTCAGGACCTTGTGCTTTCAAGGCAGGAACAGCACCACTGAGCTAAATTCCCAGTCCCTACACCTGGCTTTTTAATAGCATATCCTGGGAGCTCCTAGGTCTGGGAGAATGTAAGCTGTGTCTTAACTGGAACACCTGGATAGTCCAAGGGAATGGGGCTCCTTAAGTCTTTGCTCCTCTCCTCCCAAAGAGGGCCAGGGAGTACTGACAGAAAAAAACAAAAAACAAAAAAGAGCCGGTGATGTAACTCGGTGGCACCATCCTTGCCTGGCAAGCACAAAGTCGTCCTGAGTTTGATCCCTGGTACCAAAAAAGACAAGACAAAGAAAGCCTAAGATTTCTCCCTCACCACCCCTAGCAGCACAGCCGTGGTAGTCTTCACTCTTACCACGATGCCTGCTGCATAGCCTCCCAAACAGTTTGTTAGCCCAGTGAAATACTGTACTAAGGAAAGTGTCCTTAACTCTTCTTTTCCTAGGTTGAAGAATTAGCCCTCCGATCCATGATCAGTTCTACAGATGAAGATGGGAAGGTCTCTTCTAATGCTGCAGCTCAACAGTCACAGGATGTAAGCTTCATCCAGGCCCAGGGAGGGAAGGCAAAGCCTGCCGTGCCCCTTCTTGCTTTTGTCAGAAATTGTGGTAAAGTACGTTACATTACCAAACCCAAAGGACTCCAGGAAGTGCCACGGTGCTGGAGATTAAACCCAGTGCCTTGAGCACGGTAGGCTGCAGACGCTGATTAGAATTTTCTGGTTTAATTCGCTGGCTACTCTATTAGTTGTTTACACAGGAAATATTCATAGGTAAATAGGTGCCCCTTGAGACCATGTTAAATCAGTTACAGGAATGTAAATATCATGTGCTTTCTCTTCTATGAGAAACCCACAATATAAACAAAAGGTAAAATAAAAGGGAGTAAATTTAGCTCATTGGTTCTACTGCCTGCCTCGAAAGTGCAAGGTCCAGAGTTTGATCCCCAGTACCAAAAATGAATATTAAAAAAAGGAAGTAGAGAGATCTTTTTCAAGTGAAAAGGGGAACAAGAGATGGAGTGGGGAGAATTGGGAGAAAAAAGTGGAGACAGCCTTAGGGAAGGGGGACCAAGAGATGGAGGGAGCAGCCAGGAACAACAAAGAAGCTGTGTTTATATGTAGCAACTCCCTGTGAAGGACATAATCATTAAGTGCTGCAAACGTGCACTAACAAACATGAAAGTTGAAAAAATGTATGTAAAAGGGTTTGCTGCTTTAAGGCCCGTATCCTCACTCATCTCCAATGTCCTTGGCAACACAGATGTTGGTGCACGTAGACAATGAGGCATCGATCAACCAGACTGCGCTGGAGCTGAGCATGCACAGCCATATGATGGAGGAAGAGGAAGAAGAAGAAGAAAGAAGAAGAAGAAGAAGAAGAAGAAGAAGAAGAATCAGATTCCTGAAGGGTCTGGTCTCTGGGTTAGTTACATATATTAAATCTCTGGGTTGCAGACACTCTGGTCATAGAGGTCATCTGCGTGGGCCCTTGGCCTACTTGAAAGAAAAAGAACTGTAGGAGGACGTGTAGTGCGCAGGTGGCCACAGAACCCATGATAACTGGGGCTTCAGACTGGTGTGTGAAAATTAGTGACAGCAAATCTGGGCTGGGCATGTAGCTCAGTGGTAGAGCACTTGCCATGTGTGTGTGGACGGCGCCTGGGTTCAGTCCCTGGTACTGAGGAGAAAAACTGACATGGAAAATGAGAGATGTGATGTCTTAACTTAGAGCCATTTGGATGGTACAGTGTCTGTAATCTGGTCAGACTTAGTGTCCCGTGTTAAAAACAAATCTCTTCTGAAATACTATTAAAAAGGCTGCCATTTGCAAAAAGGGCAGAGTTCAAATACAAGCTGGCCTTTCCAGGAACAATACCTCTATTAAGAAAACCAGTTGAAGGGCCGGAGATTTAGTTCAGTGGTTCAGTGGCCTGCCTTGCAAGCACAAGGACCCGAGTTCAATCCCCGGTACCAAAAAAGGAAAAAAGAAAACCAGTTGAGGGCTGTCTGCTGTTGTCATGCCTGTGAGCAGCTTTAGCTTTGGGTGAGACAAGAGGGAGGGCAGAGTGCACAGGCTGCTGCCACCTCAGGCATGGGAACACTGTCCTCCTCGTACACACATACGCTGCTTGAGTGCTGCGTGACCCCTGGGTGGGGAAAAGGTGCTCAGAGGTAAATTAGAGTCCAGCAGCAGTCTTAGAACTCACTGGTGTCCAGACAGAGAAAAAAAGCAGCAGTTCCTGAGAAGAGCAGGAAGCTGCAGACCTGCTTCTGACCCTTACAAAAGAAATGGGCCATTAAAGAAAAAATGCCTATGGGTGGGAAATTTGAAATTTTATAATAAAAAGATGACAGCTACAGAGGAAGAGTTGTTGAGACTTGTATTTAAAGTTGAGATTTAGCCAGGCATGGTGGTGCATGCTTGTAATCCCAGTACTTAGGAGGCTGAGGCAGGAGGATTGCTACAAGTTCAAGGCCAGCCTGAACTACATACTAAGACCCCGTCTCAAAACAAAAAAGTTGAGATTAATTTCTGTATATTGTCCCTTTTCTATTCAACAGTTAAGTCACTTAATTCTATGAAGTCCCCTGCCCATGCAACAGAAAAATCAAGTCTAACACCCAAAAACCTGCACAGAATTTACATAGCTGTTCAGAAGAAAATGTAAGCACACTTTTCTATTTTGCCAGTCATCCTGTCAGTAATGTCACTGTAAGCTATTCCTACGGGAAATTGCAGGGTGTAAAGGAGTGTGCTGTTTGAAACCTGCCAAAAGTAGTTTTGGAAAATAATGCATTCATGTGTACATTTTGGGATCTGATATAAAATACAGGTGTGGCTTTGGAGGAGCTGGCTGCGTGTTCCTGCTGTTCCACTGAGGGAAGTGCTCACTCGACTCCTTTTCATAGCTGTGGCTTTCCCACCAGTGAAGTGAGGATGTTCTGTCTGAGCGCACTGGCTCACAGGTGGCTCTCAGGTGCTAACGAGATGTCGTTTAATGCCCAGCTGTTAAAGTGTATGAGTAGGAGGAGGTTTGAGGATGGAATCTCTCACAAGGGCAAATCATAAGACGGCATCAAAACAGTCATTCTGGGTAAAAGTCACTGGATAAAATCTTTTCTGACTCTCAAAATGTAAGAGTTTTGGATATGAGTAAAGAATTATTTATTTGAGACAGGGTCTCACTATGTAGCCCAGGTTGACATTGAGCTCACAGCAATCCTCCTGCCTCAGCCTCTTGAGGTCTGGGATTACTAGCCTGCACCATAACACCCAGCTGTGAGTAGAAATTTTAAACATCCCTCAGAAGACACCAAGTAAGAAAGCATTCACATCCTGATGTTAGATAACCAGGTTACACTAATCCTCCCTAATAAGAATGCAGTTCGTTCATTTTGTTTATGGTGGTGGGGTTGGAACCTGGACCACTGAGCTACATCCCAAGCCCCCCACCCCTTTTGAGGTTTATTAGAAGTATATATTTTTTTAAAGTACATATAGAGAATAGAAGTTTTTTTTGAGGCAGGGTCTCACTTTGTAGTCCAGGCTGGCCTGGCACTCAGGGCAGTCCTCCTGCCTCACCTTCCCAAGTGCACCACCATGCCCATTCTTATTTTGAACCATGATCTCCCTGGTTGCCCAGGCTGTGCTTAAAAATCTTTCGATCCTTATCAGCTTCCCAAGTAGCTAGGATTATAAGCATATGCCATTGCCCCTGACCTGGTATGTTCATTTAAATAAGACGTTCTGAGTATGGGGGGCATCCTCTCCTCATCACCAAGACGTAGAGTGTGGGTTTTTTAATTCAGCCTGAATGTTTGTGTGTTGAGTGTCGGTTAGATGTGACTTAGAATGACTGGCTGGTCTTTAAATCCCAGCAGAATCCCACACTTTTGACAGCTCGAGTACAACAGCCTACTCAGCACAGTACACAAGTTCTGTTTTTCATCTAAAATGAAATTGGCTTTTGTTTTTTGAGACAGGTGTTCTCTGTGTAGTCCAGGCTGGCCTCGAACTGGCAGTGATCCTCTACCTCAGCCTCCCGAGCGCTGGGATCACAGGCATGCACCACCATGCCTGGTTAGATAAACACCAGCGTTGCTTTTCTACAGTCTGCCCTTCCTTTCAATTGAAAGAAAAAGGGCAGAAGAACTCATTGGGCTGCCTCACACATTCCCAGAGTTCTAGAATCAGAGGAGGAGCAGGCACAGTGGCTGTGGGAGGCAGCTTTGCTCTCGAGCTCTGCCACCTCTCGGGGCTGATGGCCAACACTGACAGCACTCTTCCCGGGGAGGAACAGGGAGCATGCAGTGCTGAACTGCTCCACACAGGGGCCTTGCTGGCCGCCGCTGGCAGGAGGCTCCATCCCCAAGGGCCGGGAGCCCAGGCTGGAGCTAGAGTGACAGAAATGAGGGCTTGTATGTGAGAACTGCCTCGGGATTGTCAGACTTCTTCCAGAGCCTCACTTCCTGGGATGAAGAGGCAGGAGAAGGTGGGACCTGTGGTTCTGGGACAGAGTAGGGCACAGTACGCTGGATGAGGCCCCATCTGCGGTCTGGCCTGCGCCACCTTCCCATCCCCATCCCACCCATGGCAGCACTGGTGCTTCAGTATTTTTTCCTTGTACACTGAAGAGACGGAAAACCCTACCACAAAAGTGGAAGTTCTCTTTCATCCTTTTAAAATTTGACAGTATGGCCGGGGATTTAACTCAGTGGTGCCTCTGCTTGCCTCACAAGCTTAAGACTGAGGTTCGATCCCTGGTACAAATAAATAAATAAATAAAATTTGAAGTATGTTTATTAGAATAAGAGATTAGATTTGTTAAACATCTGGATTAAAGTGATTAAAAGGATTTTCGTACAATTTTTAGGCACTGTACACATTGTTTACAATAGCATTGGCATTTAAATTGGGGAGAAGGTAGAAATCTGATGTCGTTAATGCCTTGATCCATTGTGACATTCAAAATAACTCCATTATTTTAGAAACACTAATCCAAACCTAAAGAGACGTACACCACTAAGTACCCACATAGTGTATTTTAAAATAAATATAGAAACACAACCAAAGTCTATAGATCACCAGGTAGACAGACTGGTGATGCCCCGGCTTTCATGGCAGTGAGGGGCTCTGGCTAGATTTTGATGGAAATTCCTGAATTTTACATCAAAAGCAAAACATGATGTGATGTCCACTTTCCAATGCTCGTGTCACAGCAGCACAGCATGCGTCACATGCGCTGCCAGGGACAGGACTCAGCGGCCCCTCCTCTGCTGAGAGAAGGTGCACTTTGGCAGGGGGAAGTGTCACCAGGTGTCCCGGAGCCCGGAGACACTGGCGACTGGGACAGCCACACAGAGCGGAAACTGCAACAACCACTGTCACCACGTCACTGTCCAGCCGGCACGTGTTCGATCGTCAGCACACAAACAGCCCCAAGCACAAAGCCAATCCACTTAGGGGTAACAACAGTGATAATAAAGACTATGAAAAGTAACACGAGTACAGCTTGGCACATGCTGTGTCTTCATCCTGTGTCACAGGTGAAATGCACGTCTGGAGACAAGCATGGGAGAGGCTGGAGCAGTGAGCTCGGTGACTGCCGGCAGAGGCCTCTCAGCCCCAGCTCAGACGCTGGCCACGTGGGTCGGTGTGCTGGGCTGGTTAAGGCCAATGGTGGAACACAGCCAACCTGCGAAGTCCACCTCCTCAGCATCAGACCGCTTGATGAACGTGTGAACCTGCATAAGGACATGGAGAGGAAATGGTGTTACACAAGCCACCAAATGGGGAAACCCGTCTCAGAGCCGAGCAGCGCAGGTCCGTTAGAGATGCACACGTACACAGAGGCTGCCAGGAAACGGCCTTGGGAGCCGTCCATGTTAGAGTAAGGGCCTTCGAGTGCTCCAGCAGCCTGGGCGGGATCCCCCAGCTCTGAACCGATGCAGGACCAGGAGCTGTGCTGGGGATTCTGCAGCCCGGCCTCAGAAGCCTGGGCAGGTGACAGAAGAGACAGAGTGCATACGTAGCAGGCATGCTGAGAATCAAATAAATGGCCTTACCATGAGCTGCTTCAAGTCTGCTCTCTCTGCAGGGTTTTTTATTAAGCTGAAAGGAAGAAAGGTAATGTTGAGTGCTTTGGGCTGCACCAGCTCCAGTTCACACTGCTATCCGCTCCCTGGGCCCAGTCTCTCCTTCCTGTCTTGCACAGTTCCAGGTTCAGCAAGGGGCTGGGTGTGGGCACACGCCTGAGCGCGAGACTGGAGAACCTCAAGTTGGAGCCCAGCCCAGAAACACAGGAGACCTTGCCCCCTCCCCACAAAAGCCAGTCCCTCTACAGCAAGCACTAAAAGCAGCAGCCATAATCAAAGGCATAAGTCTTGGCACTCTGCAAGAAAGCCATGGCAGCAGCTGGTGGGACCCAGGAGAGGGAGGGCACTACTGTGCCCACAGAAGCAAAGCTGGCAGTCTCGGGAAAGGGGCAGAAAGGCCAACCAATCCAGAGGACCCCTGCATTATTTTTGTTTCTACCTATCTGTGATGCTGGGGATCAAACCCAGGGCTTCATGCATGCCGGGCATGTGCTATACCCTTGAGCTCCACCAGAGCCCCTCCAGTTCCCCTTCCAGACAAGGAGCAGACTTACCATTTATTTACAAAGTCCTGAAATTCCAGACTGAAGACTCCACTGGGCAGTTTTGGAGGTGGCTGCAGACACAGGTCTAGGTGAGAAATGCCTGGCTCCTTCCCACCTCCCCTGCCCATCTCCCACCACTGAGCAGTGCTGTCCCTCAGGGAAGTCCAGCTGCTGGAGGCGCCGTAAGAACTGGGATCCCATCATGTGTTTCAGCACCCACCTGTCTGGTGACTAAACAAGCCATGTTCTTGCACTGCAGGCCTCAGTTCTGTTTATCCTATGACATGAGGGGCTTGTGCCTATCAACCTCTGACTACAGATCTAAGAGTGTGGCTCACATGGCAATGTCACCAGCAGTCAGGAGCAGTTAGGGGATGTGCAAACCACCAGGCCTGCTCAGGCCTTCCACACTGCAGAAACAAGCCCAAAGACTCCTATCTTTCTGAGCCTAGAGAGGCAGAGAGATAGATAGTGAAACATCGTCTGGCAGAAGGCTGAGCCTGGAAGAAGCAGGCCCGTACAATGTAGAAATGAGGCTGTCTGCAGGCCTCTGACTGTGGCTACGCTGCAGCGTTGCTCTACCACAGGACCCCCCAGGAGCTCGAGTCCACTAACATGACCTGTGCTAGGAGTTGTGTTGCTTTGCTGGGAAAAGCTGACCTCAAAAAGGCCCAAGGAGGTCATTGCTCTGATGTATAACCCCAAATCAACAGGCGATTCAAGATTAAAAATGAAACACTAGGGGAGGATTTAGCTTGGTGGTTCTGCCACCTGTCTCATAAGCATAAGTTTCTGAGTTTGATCCCCAGTACAAAAAAAAAAAAAAGAAACACAAGCTGGATGTAGCTGTGTGCAGCTATAATTTCAGCTCTGGGGGAGGCAGAGGCAGGCAGAGTTTGAGGCCAGCCTGAACAACATAGTGAAACTCCTGTCTCAAAAAGAGGAGATGGGCTAGGGATTTAGCTCATTGGTTCTGCTGCCTACCTCAAAAAGAGAAGACTGTGGGCCTGCCTTACAAGCACAAGATCCTGAGTTTGATCCCCAGTACTGAAAGAAAAAAATAAACTAAAAAAAGGGCCGGGTGTGGTGGCGCATGCCTGTAATCACAGCACTCGGGAGGCTGAGGCAGGAGGATCACTATGAGTTCGAGACCAGCCTGAGCTACATAGTTCCAGATCAGTCTCAACTACATAGTGAGACCCTGTGTCAAAAAACCAAAAAACAAAACAAACAAAAAAACCACACTCACCTACCAAAAAGCCTGGCCTCACCCCATCCCTGAATGAAGGCCTTGTCCTTCTGATCTGAGGTTGACTACAGCCCAGCTCTGAGGACCAAGAGCCTTCAACCTGTCCAATGCTGAGGGCAGGAAGGGTGTGCTCTGGAGGCCAGGGTGGGCTCTGTGCCACAGGGGTCCGGGGAGGGAGGTTGGAGGTTGCAGGTAGTGAGGAAGAAAACTCAGCAGGTGTGAAGGCCCCAAGCTGCTGCTTACTGGGGAACTGGTTTCCTCACCTGCATGAAGTGGACACTGCAGTCTGGCCCAGCCAGCTGTGCTTGGAAGGACTGAGTAGGAACTCGAGTGCAGCTCGAGGAGCACAGTGTGAGTGCTCGCTAGGACAGGCAGCTGCAAGTGTCCCCTGGGGACCTCCACTGCACCGCAGCCAACAGAAGAGCTGGGGTGGTGCCCTAATTTTCCACAGCAAGGAGCAGACCTGGCTCCTCGTCTGCCTCCACAAAGCTTAGCAGAGAGCTCTGCAGACCTCAGACAAGTCAGTTAAACTCGCTACCAGGACCTCCAGGACCAACCAGGCTTTTTCCTGTTGAGTTTGTAGTGAACCAAGGGATCTTTTTGAGCCTTACAGGGTCTGGCTTCATGAAATGGTAAAGTCTTGAGGAAGACAGGAATGGGGTGCTACCCTATACCTAACACTCCAGCTAGCTGGGGGGGAGGGCCAGGTGCCTCCTAAGTGTGGCAGAACCCGTCCCTTCCCAGGCTGGCCCACCTGTCTTCTGCTAAGCCCTGCCCTTCCCAGGGCCAGCTCTTCCATTCCTTGGGAGGAGGGACGTGGAGCTGCCCAAACATCCCTGGGAGGGGACTGACCATTTCTCAAGCAGCCACTCGATCTACGGTGAGCATCCCGGGGACCCCACAGCGGGAAGCACTGGATTTCCAAGCCTGCTTACCCACAGCTGTTTCCTAAGAGCACTGAAACTCTCAGGCAAGGACGCCAGCCATGCTTACCTCATTGACTATGTAATCCAGCAGCTCGAAAATTGCCATGGGAGGCCGGCTGTCCATTCCGTATGCTATAGGGTTCATAAAAAGGAAAAAGAGGACACTTAGCAACAGACAGGTGGCTATGTGTCAGCGAGAGGCAAAGGACAGGCCTAGAGGACAAGCAGGACAGAAGGGACCAGAAAAGGCACAAAGGGAGGCAGCATGTAACAGTCTGGACTCTGCCACATCCTAGATTTGTGACCTCCAGTGAATCAGGTGACTGCTGAGACAACAGAACTGACAGTGATTCTTCTGCCTCTCCCTCCTTCCTTACACTGAGTGGAGCAAATGTGACAACAGAACAGGACCAGCCCGCCTCCAGTGACTGCCATCAGCCCCCATGGGTCCCTTCTCTTCTCCCTCCACACACCGACTCTCCCAAAGGGACCCCATCATGGTAAAGACCGTGCTTCTCACAGTGGCAGGCAGATGTGGCACTCGGCAAATTAAATGCTCTGTGCCTCAGTTTCCTCATTTGTGAAACAAAGCTCATAACAGTACTCACAAATGGATGGCAGTTGAGATTAGAAAGTGCTCGGTAAATGATGGAGCCAGAGAGGAGATCAGTGACCACCAGGGGACAGGCTCAGGGGAAGCTGGCCGCTCCTGTTGGTGTGAATGGGGGCTCTTTTTGTTGCGACGGAAGTATTCTGAAGTGAGATGGAGGTGATGTCTGCACAACAGAGGAATACTCTACAAACCCTGGAAGTGTGCGTGCGTGCGTGCGTGCGTGCGTGCGTGTGTGTGTGTGTATTCCTAGGGACGGAACCCAGGCCCTCTGCACTGAGCTACATCCCCAGCCCAGGCTGGGTTCAGAGTGCAGGCTTTTCAGGTATGCACCCCCGCAACCAGCTGAATTCTGTACTTTATTTATTTTTTTATTATTATTATTTTTTGGTACCAGGGATTGAACTTGGGCCCTTGTGTTTGCGAGGCAGTCACCAGAACCACTGAGCTAAATCCCTGACCCAGAATTCTGTACTTTAAAATATCAGTTTTATGTTATGTAAACTATATCTCAATAAAAAAATTATCCTAAAATGTCATGATTACAAAGCACCTTAAGGTGCTAAGCACAGCGCCTAGAACAAAGGCACTCAGTAAATGGCATGAAGTTGCTGGTACAGCAGTGATTGATTTCCCACTCCCACCTGCAGACCCTGCCACTCCCCCAGCCACAGCCTGGCATCCAGACAGAGGAACATCTGGGCGTGGTGGCGCACACCTGTAATCCCAGCACCTGGGAAGCTGAGGCAGGAGGATTGTCATGTGTTAAAGGCCAGCCTCTACTGTATATCAAGACCCTCAAAATAAAACAAAAAAATAAAACAGAGACAGAGGAAGGGATGGCAAAAGGTACAGGGAATCAGGAATCTGCTCCAGATACGGAGAGTAAGGGCCCCCAGCCCAAGCTAGGAGCACAGCAGCCACTCACAGCTGAGGGGTCTTCCAGGGGTCCTGGGCCTGGGAGGCGTCTCGGCCGCGTCTCCCTCCACCTGGCACCCGAACATCAGCTCCAGCTCCTTGGCATCTGGAGGGGGGATGGGGTACCTCCCAACCGCCATCTCCACCAGAGAGAGCCCCATACTCCAGATGTCCGACTGCACTGAGTAGTGGGTGCCCTGCAGTCTTTCTGGCTGCAAGGGAGATGGAGACGCAGATCAGTCACCTGGACACGCCAGGATGTGGGGACTGCTGGGGCACTAGGTCCCTTCCTGGACAGCTCCTGGCCTGTTTCAGGAGTGCCCTCACCTCTTGGATTTGCTGTCTCAGTCGCCCCTAACGTCGTGTTCACCAGACCCTAGCTGGCTCTTCTCTGCTCACTCCCCTGTAACCTGCCTTGGGCCCACAGCATCTCTGCCCTGCCTGGCACTATCTTCCAGACACAGGGCTGCCTACCCAAAGCCTAGCATGACAGGTTCATTTGTCACCTGGGCTGAAATAACAAAGCTTATGAAACATGGGCCATGAATGAGGTGGCACAATGGGTAAAGGCACAAAGAACCTAAGGCTTAGAAGCTATGGGGTCCAGCCTCAGTTTCCTCATCTGTAAAATGGGGCTGCTGCTAGTAGTAACAGTAACAAGGACATGACAGAATGCCCACTCTGCTCAGTGGCCTCACTGAAACCAAATAAAAATGACGATGTATACCACATGTTGCAAATGCTGAACAAAGGTAAGCTGACACTCATGGGAAGAGTCAGAGAAAAAAGTATACAGTACTACACAGAGGCATTTTTACTGAGCATTAGTATTTCCGGTAGCACATTTATTTCAAGCAAACTACAAAAACCTTTTTATTCTGACCATAGGACAACCATTTAGACCTCAGATTAGCTTTTCCCATAGCATTTGTCTCTATTTTGGAACTGACCACCTAACCACAAAAACCCAACCACTAAACCCTGGATCATGAGTTCCGGGCCCATTCATTGATTTAGGACTTGCCAGCTGGCAGCTGAGGGCCCAGGGTGTGAGCCACCTAGGGGAGCAGCAAAGGGGAAAACGAGGCAGGTGTGACAAGAGCAGCACCGTGGACCACTGGCGTGTGGAGGGGTGGGAGTACTGTGACAGAGGACAGAGTCTGCAGGAAAGATGGAGCAGCGGGCAGCTGGCTCCAACCCAGGCATGGAGAGGTCACGCAGGTGGCTCACATCACTTCCTGAGGCGAGCTTTGTTCCTCCAGGATGGGAGCGATGATCTTCACCGGAAGGAACACCTGACAGCTCAAAGGAGCCCATTGGGGTTGGGCTGCTCCCTCCCACCCGGCCTGCACACCCCCCTCTCTGAAGACCGAGCACCAGCACTCAGGAGGTCTTTTGCACTCAGCTCCACCTGCTGCTGCCCCCTAACACCCACCTACTCACAGGGGCCTGCACACATCAGCCCCTGGCCAGCATTTCCCTCAGCACCTGTGCATGCCAAGCCCATGCCAGTACCCAGGGACAGGAGAGGCACTGTGGCCCTGGCTCTGCCCCACAGAGCTCCAAGCATGGGGACAGCCACAAAATGCTCTGGTGGCAGTGGGAGCCAGCCGTGTAGGGAGCAAGATGGGTGCTGGCCGAACAGGAGCAGTGGGGCCGGGTGAATGGGAGACGTGCAGTGAAGAGGAAGAGGAAGCAGGATGGAGGGAGCCACCCAAACTCTCAGCTGCTGCGTGCTAAAGCACAGGGAGCGGGAAGGACTTAAAAGTGAGTTTGGGGATTTAGCTCAGTGGTGCCACCACCTGCCTCCTAAGCACAAGGAAGTTAGATCCCCAGTACCAAACAAACAAACAAGTCAGTTCATGCCTGGGAAGCAGTGATGCTATTTGCTGCTAACAGCAAAGAAGAGGTGGCACAGTCTACAGTGGTGCTGTGTCAGGCACAGTGGGAGCGAGGATAACCAGGTGATGATATCCAGGGGCAGTGGGACTCGGTCTCTCCGGATGAAGCCCTGGAGCTGGGGTGCTGCAGTCTCTACTCACCGGTTAAAGCCCAGGTCTGCACCCAGGCCTGGGACAGGGCGAGTCATCTCCTCAGACACTGACTCTGGAGAAGACCGCTGAGCCTCCTCTGTCACTCTACCCCCCGCCAGGCACCCAGCACGACTCTGGCTTGCTATGGTGACTCTACGTCCGCCCCACCGAGAGGCCTGCTGTTCATACCGACATGTAGGACCTGGTGCCCACGAAGGAGTTGGCCATGGAGTCGATGAGCTGCCCGCTGACCCCAAAGTCACAGAGCTTGATCTCCCCACGGGAGTTGACCAGGATGTTGGAGGGCTTGACATCTGCGGGGAGAGGGAACAGCAGGTGGGAAGGAGATGCAGGCAGGCTGGAGGACAGGGAGCAGCCCAGACAGGCAGCCCTGACCTCAGGCCCAGGAGCAGAGTGTCCAGGGAGGCAGCCCTGCCCAGCATACACTGGCCGCCCAAGCTGCATGTCCTCCTTGTTCCAGGGCTGAGAAAGGACAATCGGGATAAAGTGGCCAGTGCCTAGAGAACCTGGACAGAAAGAAAAATTTCCACTGAGGATGCAGACCCAGCCAGACGATCAACAAGAAGCAGTCTGTTGCCAGGTGTGGTGGCGCACGCCTGTAATCCCAGCACTTGGACCGCTGTGAATTCGAGACCAGCCTGGGCTACACAGTGAGTTCTCAACATAGTGAGACCCTGTCTCAAAAAGCCAAAAAAAAAAAAAAGCAGTCTGTTACCACAAAAAGTCAAGCTTTCAAAGTCTTTTCTCAAACTGGGCGTGGCGGTGCATCCCTATAATCCCAGCACTTAGGAGGCTGAAGCAGAAGGAGTGCCATGAGTTCGAGGCCAGCCTGGTCTACATTGAGACCCTGTCTCTAAAGGAAAGAAAGAAAAAAAAGAAAAGTCTGTTTCTTCAACCATTCGTGCTGGTGAGACAGTGTCTGTGGCTGTGTCATAAGGGAGGCAGATGAACACAGATAAGAAGACCTCCACATCTGCTAAAATACAAATCAGAGGGGCTGGAGATTTAGCTCAGTGGCACTGCACCTGCCTTGTAAGTGCAAGGTCCTGAGTTTAATCCCTGATACGAAAAACAAAACAAAACAATAGATTAGAGACTAAAGGGGTACACAAATCCCTGTCCTGGAGACTGAATCAGGGCCTTTGCAATGAGGTGCATCCCTAGACCTTTTTTATTTTTCATTTGAGATAGAGTCTTGGCTAAGTCCCTAAGTTGCCCAGGCTGAATTAAAACATCTGATCCTCCTGACTCAGCTTCCCAGAGTGCTAGGATTACAGGTGTGTGCCAACACACATGGCTGGTCCCAATTTCCTCTTCCTTCTCACTAAATCTTTTGTCTAAATTCACACAGCTGCCTCAGTTCTATTTCCATGATCATCAAGACAAGGTCCAATGTATCCCGTATCACAAGGACTTGCTCAAGGTAGCAGAGCGAACACCAAGTAACGCAAGAAGCAGCACCCAGACCTTTTGACACCTGGACCCATCCTGTGCCCACCTGTGGGCTCCACGTTCCTCAGCTGTCCGGCTCACCTCATAGTCCCAAGCACCCACTACTTGCAGGGAGGTGGCAATGACAAACTGGACAAGTCCCCGCTTTGGGAAGCTTACGATTTTAGTGTGAGAAGACAGGCAAGAAGTGAGCCGAGGAACACTGTCAGGCAGTCTCACGAGCCCCCAAGAAAACAAGCACAAGGCCATGTGTAAGCAGAGTGCGAGGGACTGCTGTGACAGGGATGAAGGGACCTCTGGGGGACAGAAGGGGATGGGCCACATGACCCCTGGGAGAGTCACACGGACTGAGTGTTCCCTCCCCAGGCCTTGTCAGGACAGGCCCCAGGGACACAGGCAGGACGAGTCCAGCAGCTGCTGGTGAGAGGCACTGTCCTCATCCCGCAGTGCCCAGAGGTCACGTGTGTGGGGTGTGGAGCGCGAGGCTGCGGGGACAGGACCATGCTGTGAGACCAGCTGGACCTTCGCCTCCGTGCAGAAGCAAGACGGAGCCTCAGCTAAAGAGACCGACAGCCTGAGTTCAAGTCCTGACACTGCCACCTGCTGTCCCTGCTGTTCTCTGGGCCTGATGCGCTGTCAGTCAGTAGAGCAGGGCCAGCATCACAAGGGTGGACCAAGATGGAGCCCATCACGCGTGGTGTGTGAACAGCATGTGCTACAGGAACACGGGGGGGCTCCCCCCCAGATCAGCTGTTCTGAGAAGCAGCGTACGGCCCCTTCCCTGGCAAGCCAGCCTGCGCCCTGCTGCCGTTCCCACCGCAGCCTCCTGTTCAGCCTTACATAACACTGCTCTCTCTCTTCTACCTTCCGCCAGCACCAGCCTCCTACACCCCCCCCATGACACTGATGCCAGGCTGTGGAGATCGGTGGCACTGGTGAAGATCAGACTGCCCCTTATTCCTCGCAGTGACCTGGAAAGCCTGACAGGAGACCTGGGCACATTAAGGCTGCCAAGCCACAGCATGCACCTGCCCTCCTCAAGAAGCCTTGGCCAGGCAGGATGCTGGGAGCAGAAGGAACGCAGTGTTTCCCAGGCATTTGCACCAGCTTCCCACAGCAGCCAGACCCCCACAGCTTCCCCTCCACCTCATCTGCCTGGCAGCCCTCCCTGGTGGGACAGCCTCTGCACACAGCCTGCCAGGGCTCCTGTCTGCCCCGAGGTGCAGATTCCCCCTGCTGGCCTTCTGAGGCCTCTGCGCTCCCTCCTCACCCCTCGCCCAGCCCTCCCAGCTCAGGGCGGCCTCCCTTGTGCGGGTCCTCCCTTCCATCCCCTCCACCTCCCTGTTTCTCCTGAGCCCTGGCCCACATGCCACAGCACCCCGCTCCTCCCACACTGTCCTAGCAGAACCCACAGGGGACTGAATGACAGGCCCAGTGCTCTACTTCCAGAGCCTCCTCCAGGCCACAGGTTCCATCATTCCTTCAGTGTCACGAGGTGACACTGAAAACAAAACAGAGGTGAGACTGGAGGAGCCCAGGAACTGGCAGGCCAGGCTGTATCCTTCACCCATGGGCCCCAGGGGACCCCACAGGATGCTGCAGCGTGTTGCCCAATTCTGCAATGACAGATAATCCTTTCCCTTGAAACAGAATGAGGGCTGGGTGTTGGGATGCACACCTGTAATCCCAGCACTCGGGAGGATGAGGCAGGAGGATCGCTGTTACTTTGAGGCCACTGTTACTTTGGGTTACATAATAAGATCCTGTCTCAGAAAACAAAACAAATGAAAACAAGAGAGAAAAAACTGGAGTTTTTATTTTAAAAACTAAATGGAAGAAAGTTTTTTTTTTTTTTTTTTTTTTTGTTTCACCATGTAGTTTAGACTGTCCTCGAACTCACAGCAATCCTTCTGGCCTCAGCCTCCCGAGTGCTGGGATTACAGGCATGAGCTACCGTGTCCAGCTTCTGCTATATTCTCCCTCAGAAATAACGACTGTTCAGAGCCTCTGAATTACCCAGGGGCATAAAGTTTGAGGTTTAATTTCTAAATATTTTCTACCCCTGTAGAATAGGGGTTTAGATAAAATAATTTGGGGGCCCACTTGTTTATTCCACATGGAATACCTGCACAGTCCTGGTCCATGTCCCTCAAGGCTGTCACCAATAGGGAAGACAGAAGCCAAAAAATCCCAGGGCATGTGAGCAACCCAGAGAAGGGGACTCAGTTTTCCCAGTGGATGGCAGCTGGCCTCACTGAGAACAACTCAATGGGCACCTTCCTTCTGCTTGGTTTAGATAATAAAGGTGCTGTGTTCCCTAAACAGGGTGGGGAAAGTGATACAGTGAACAGGCACCAAGGGGAGAGCCTAGAAGAGTGAGAAGAGCAAAAAGGCAGGAAGGAATGGGTGCCGGGTAAGAAGAAAGAAGGGCGATACCAAGGCCAGAGTGGCTCATCTGAGACACAGCCCGAATCTAAATGTGAGACGATCCCGGGAAAGTGAGAACTAAAGGTTTCAAAAAAGGCAAATGAGATTGTAAACGTTTTGATATTTATATATTTATTCGCACAGTGCTGGCGATTGAACCCAAGGACTCATGCATGCTAAGCAAGTGCTTTCCCACAGAGCGCCACTCCCAGCCCAAATGAAGTTTTCAAACTGTGACTCTAGGTTTCAGACCACCTCTTCCTGGCATTCTTGGCAGAGCCCTAAGAACCTTTCTGTGTAGATGGAGGGACAGGAAAGGGTGCTAAGACAGGCAAACTAACCCACAGCCTGCACAGGGCCACCTCCAGCCATCCGCGGCCTTAACGAAGCTAACCAGGGAAGGAAGGTCATTAAAATCCAGAGAACTCATTGAACGTGTCGGCAGCTTTGGAGATTTTTTTGTGTGATCTCTTCGCCAGAAGAACCAGGCCTATACACAAGCAACCATGTTGAAGGGGCCTGCAGCTGGCACTGGTCTTGGCACCACCTACTCCTGTGTGGGTGTCTTACAGATGGGCAAGTGGAGATAATCACCAATGGTCAGGGAAACCAAACCACCCCAAGTTAGGTTGCTTTCACCGACACCGAATGACTGATCGGAGATGCTGCAAAAAATCAAGTTACAGTGAACCCAATGCCAAGCGTCTGACTGGACGTGGATTTGATGATGCTGTCATCCAGTCTGATATGAAGCTTTGGCCCTTCGTGGTAGTGAATGATGCAGGCAGACCCAAGGTTCAAGTCGAACACAAAGGAGAGACAAAGAGCTTCTATCCAGAGCAAGTATCTTCTGTGGTGCTGACAAAGATGAAGGAAACTGCAGAAGCTTTTCTTGGGAACAAAATTGTTGCCAATGCTGTGGTCACAGTGCCAGCTTACTTTAATGACTCTCAGTGTCAAGCAACCAAAGATGCTGGAACCATTGCTTGTCTTAATGTAATTAGAATTATCAACAAGCCAACAGCTGCTGCTGCTTATGGCTTAGACAAAAAGGTTGGAGCTGAAAGAAATATACTGATTTTTAATTTAGGAAGTGGCACTTTTGATTTGTCAATCCTTACTACTGAAGATGGAATCTCTAAAGTGAAATCTACAGCCGGAGATACTCACTTAGGTGGAGAAGACCTTTTTGTTGTTGTTGTTTCTTGTTTTTTTTTGGTACCGGGGATTGAACTCAGGTCCTTGCGCTTGCAAGGCAGGCCACCGAACCGCTGAGCTAAATCCCCGGCCCAGGTGGAGAAGACTTTGACAACCCAATAGTCAACCATTTTACTGCCGAGTTCAAGTGCAAGCATAAGAAAAACATTAGTGAGAACAAGAGAGCTGTCCGCCATCTCCGTACTGCGTGTGAACG